TGTCAGCAAACAGAAAATCAACATAGGAGCTGTCTGATTGTCCAGAAATTGCTGATGGGAGAAAAATAAGATTTAAATCTAATGTTGCATAAAACCTGCAGTATAAAAGAATGTATGCTATTGATTCTACCTCTTGTGAACCATAGGAAAGAGCATGAGCCATTGGGAGTCTAAAACATCTACTATAACTATGCAGAAGGAACAGCATTACAATGAGTCCTGGTAAAACAAAACAACAGAAACTCAGAAAAATCAGGAAGCAGTCAGGGAGTAAATGTAGGGAGCCATTGTTTTCAATTAATTGTTTTTGATAATGCTATATACAGTCCTTTCAACTTATATGTATTACTGGAGATAGTAAATCTTTGCTGGATAGGTATCAGGCACTTTATAACTGGACTCTTTCCAGGAAGAAAGAGTTGAAGCTGGGCAAGAGGTGATGCAAGCACTTGCCGATAACTGGAAATCGTGACAGTGCACATAGATGAGCTTTGAAAACAAACCATAACAAGCATATGGATGTAACAACAGACCAAGTAGCCAGCCAGCTGCTGAAAATTGGGAAAAAAGTAAAAAGGTGTAAAAAATGTAAAATGTAAAAAACAGCTGTCTGAACAAAGGAACAAGAGGAAGGGCAATTAAATATCCCTTTTGTGGTATTTGAACTGGAGGAAGCTATAAAGACTATGAAAATGAACAAAGCAGCAAGTGTTGATGATATAAGAAGAGAATCGATAAAGCAATTTTGTCCCCATACTCTGGATTGGCTCCTACAATTGATGAACAGTTGAGTTTAAGATGTCAAAATTATGGAGGCAGCCTAGAATTGCACCCTTACTAAAACCCAGCAAAGACCCAGACAATCTGAAAAATTACCAACCAATATCACTCCTCTGCCATCTCTGAAAGGCACTAGAATGGATAATTCTCAACTATCTCTAAATTTATTGATGGAAAAATCATAAGAGAGCAAGCATGTTTTAGACTGGGGAGATCATGTCACGGCCAAATCCTAAACTTTATATAACATATTGAGGAGGGTTTCGAAAGAAAGCTAGTTACTGGAATGATTTTATCAATAACCATAGGATATTGTTAGGCAAGTTAAATAATATCAGCAGAAACAATAAGCTTTCCAGTATCATTCGCAGCTTCCTCCAGAACTGGAGATTTTATGTGATGCTGAATGTTAAGAACAGTAAATGGAGGATGCAGAAGAACCGGCTGCCACAGGAAAGTATATTATCTCCAATATTGTATTACATATATATGAATGATCAACCAGTGCCCAACAAAACACGTCTATTCATCTATGCAGATGATTTAGCAATGGCTGGACAAGGATCAACCTTTGATGATGTATCTGGGAAAATTATGGTAGCACTTGATGAATTAGAATGATATTATGCCATCAATCATTTAAACCCAAACAAGACCCAAGTATGTGCTTCCACTGTCGAAATTGAGGTGCGAAGCAAGAGTTGTGGCAATGGAAATGTCTACAGCACTGTCCAACATTGAAGTATCTTTGGGTATACAACACAAGACAGGATACTCTCTTTTAAACAGTGAACACTAAGGCTAAAGTTCAGGAAAAATATCATCAGGAAATCGATAAATTACACATGGGAAGCTCAACCATCTACATTGTGCCTTTAGCATCTCTGAAACAGAATATGCTGCTCCAGTGTGGGGTGCATCAGCACATGCAAAACAAGTTGATATTGCTATCAACAAAGCAGTATGCTTAGTAACAGGATATCTCAAACTTATGTGAATTGAGCAAATATATTCTCTCTCTGACATTGCCCAACCTAAAATAAGAAAGTTTGCAATAGATATCAAGAGAATTAAGCAAGAGAATGACCCTCAACATCCTCTGAATGCACATGCCCAAAGCCAGTCAATTCAGCTACAGGAACAGCTTTATGGCAAGAACAAACATTCTTGAGGATATGCAAGAACAAAATTGAATTAAAAGATGGAGGAAGGAGACCATCGAGCAAGGAATCACATTAAAGCAGGATATGGCTAAAGGATCTGACCTCCCTTATACTACTTGGAGGACCCTGAATGCATTGAGAGTCGGAGTGCCTAAGTGTAAAACCAATATGTGCAAGTGAAGGCTCTTAGCAGTTACCAACACAGTGTGTAAATGTGGAAAGAACAGAGCTCAGTCCATCTGTGGTATGCCGGCTACTACCAGAAACATGTAACGATACTGACTTCTTTTTGGCTTTCTTTTTGTCTCTTTGGTTGAGGCAAAGCCAAGAAGGTGGTTTCCTTCTGGCAATTTAAAGTTTGACTTAGACACAGAAGAAGAACTTATACTGCAGCTCATTTTCAAGTAATCATTGAGCAATCAGGTTTTTAGCCCATGACTAGCCAAAATTACATAAAATGATCTATAAAAGACCACATAAAAGGAACTTCCGATTGAAGGACTTCTTCCAAGTGGATTAGAAAGTATCATTTAGAACATAGAAGAATAACCCACTGAGTTTATAGTACTATTTAAAATAATACTAGTTTCCCACTTTACTATGGAACATGGATTTCATTGCTGATCCAACAGAGAGATTGGAATCAGTGGCCTTTCAGATGATGTGAACTTTTCCAATCATCCTGATCTGCGCTCATGTTGGCTGGAACTGTTAAGAATCAGAATTCAAAAACATCTGGATATGCCTGACCACAATTTTCATCCCTATTGATAGATATTATTTTATAAATAAGAGAATCCTATTCCATTTTTGGCTGAAAAATGGCTTACATTAATAGCATGGTTTCGGTTATTAATTTCTGCAAGCATTCAGATTCGGAGCTGGAGTCTTGCAGAATATATTGAGTCTTAAGAAGAATAAAAATTGAGTATCCTTAGACATAGAAAAACATAGTATATGTAACTTACTTAAAAGTTTAATTAATTTCAACAATTAATTAATTATTGGTAAGCATATTTAAGGAAGCATTTCTGTTGTATCATTACAACAGAAGTAGGAAAGCACTTTAAACTTTCCTTTTCATTTTTCAATCAGTAGAATAAAGACATGCCTTAAGGAAACTTTGGTTTGATTTTTATCAGTATTTGGAAGCAAACATTAATCAGATCATAGTAGTGGACACTGTCAATTTCTTACACTCTTAGGATATGGCATTCTACTTGCCAGATAGCAGCCCAAAGGTAAAAAGGATAGAATGGGAATAATTTGTCTCGCTCCATAATGATATTTATGCTACACAATTACTTTCTAACAAGCGAGCACGTACACAGATATTCATGACAAATCATTTCAAAAGTATTTCTTACATTACACCCAATGTTATATGAATATTATGACAGCATAGGAAGTAAAAAAAGTGGTTCTTTGTCTCCCCCTTTGCTTTAAAATTGAAAAATCATGTTTCCTCCACTAGTTCAACTATGGATATACATTGAATTAAATTTGTTTACAATGTGGTTTGGCCATTAGTAGGGACCAGCCAGATGACTTTACTTTGAAACTCCTGGAATTCGAGAATTGGCATTTTTATCGTATGGCTGTCCTTCCTCTATGAAAACAGATCTCTCTAATACAACTGATAGGGTCTTGCCACTAAAGTTGTATATTTTGTGAGACCAGATATCTTTCTTGAATTGTAGCCTATACATTTCCTCCATAGGAAAGAATTCAAACTTGCACACTACAACAGCAGAAGCATCCTGCCTTTAGAAAACTATGATTATGAAGTTCAGGCACAAAGAGATGACCACCGAGCTATTACAGAGAAACACCAAGTTCCCTTCAAATCCAGCTTTATCTCATTCAACTAAAAGGTACTACAAAGACTAGCCTATGCTTACCAGATGCATCTTTGCCGCAGTTCCTTAACAAAGGTGGAGTTCTTTTTCCCAAGATTATCCTAAAGAAGGTCCATGTGATGATCTTGCCAAAGCTCTGGATTCAGGTAGTATACTTTTTGACAGGGAAACAGACCCAGCCCAGCCAGGATGAATGCAGGGTTTGATGTTCTTAATAACATCAAAATAGCCTCTTTGTCTTTAACCACAGTATTTCTCATGAAATATAACATATAATTATCTTTGTGTTTATTGAACACATTCCTCCTTTTGCAGGTCAAGTTTGAACTGTAACACTCTCTTTTCAAAAAGTTTCTCAGTGGTTCATTTGGCTACAAAGACTGTGAGCAGCTGTCTTTCTGGTTCCCTGTTAATGGGAGTCTGGCCTTTAATAAATATTAATAAGGATAAGGATATAAGGATTCTAATTCCACGTTCCAACTAGCAATCTACATACCAATCTTTTTTTTCACCAGATTTTTATTTCCCACCTTTAGTAAACAAACACCATCCTGTAGCTATTCTTCATGCTACTTTCTCATAGGCAATTGGTTTGTTTAACTCTTTAGGATCTTACTTGGTATTTTTGTTCTCTTCAACCTTGGGGTCCCCCACTATACACACTAATAGTTCTGTTCCTTCTTAATGTCCCTGTTTTAAGCCCTCAGGTCCTAGTTCTTAGGCTGGATTTTAGTATCCCCAAGTGGAACCTACAAAGTACAGAAGGCCTTGGAATATAATACATTAACTGATTGATTTATAATTTATAGATTTTAATAAAATTTATAATTTTATAAATGTTATGATTTATATAAATCTCAGATACCCTAAGCCTACTGATACTAAAGACCCAATCTTTAATTGGCGCCAGTTATTTCACCAGCCAGGAAATGCTAAGAAAACAGACAAGGAAATGCATCACATTTCTTTTCCCTTTGTTGCTATCACTTTGTTCATAGGCATTCTCTTCTTCGCTGGTTGTCCGAGCTCCTTTTCTTAAATTGAGGGTGAGAGTTCATTTCTCGGTGACTGGTACATTAACTTTCTGGTTGCTGAGTCAGAGAGAGGGAAGCCACACCTGCAACTTTAGTTGTGCGGGGAGTGGTTTGACGTGGTATCAGATTAAGGCAGTCTTCTCCCCTCCTTGTTTCTATTCTGATTAAACGCTCCTTAATCTTGGAGACTATCTGTGAAATGCAGTTCCTGTTTTTTCTCAGGTTGTTATTTAGTTTTCTTTTCCACCATTGAAGGAAGTCTGACTTAAAATAGGACTGCAGACATTAAGGCTGTAATTGCCATGTGGAAAGCCTGCACTCCTGCTGTTTTTCTAGGGTGGGGGTAGATTTGTGCCTCTCCTTCAGCCCTTCATGTGTGTCTGGACAAGTGGCGGAGAGTGACGTGACTCTCTCACACAGGGCCAGCACTGATTCATGCCGGGAGGCTTTCCAGCCATGCTGAAGCAGATCCTGTCCGACATGTACGTGGACCCAGAGCTCCTGGCTGAGCTCAGCGAAGAGCAAAAGCAGATATTGTTCTTCAAGATGAGGCAGGAACAGGTCAGAAGGTGGAAAGAAAGAGAAGCAGTAGCTACCACCCCAAAGCCAGTACTGAAGAAAGGTCAGTGCATGACCATTTTCTTTCTTATTTCTTGTCCAGAATTTTATCTCACTTTCCAAGCATTGACTCAAAGTTTGCCATAGGATACGTTTTGATGATGTTATTGAATGAAAAAGCAATATTCTGTAGCTTTAGATGATGTGTGCTTTTACATAAATCATTAAAAATTAAATTGGGAATAACCAGCTGATTAGATAAGTGAGTCTTTTTCCTAATTTCTAAGTATGAAGTGAGCCAAAGATCAGACTGACTAGCGAAGTTAAGCAAATTTGATAGGAAGACTTTTTCATAGCTTCCTCATAGAGAACATCCATCCACGTGGCACTTTGTCCAGCACCCATCCCATCAAGCACTTTGAAGCAGACCTGTCAATTATCTTTACTCCTTCTTGCTGCAGGACATTGGGAACACAATAAGCCAGTTCAGCTGTCCAAGAGGAGCCTGCAGAAAGAATAGGGAGCTCTCCACCTGAACTACTTCTGGTGCAATTAAAAAAACCAATCCCTTCAGCATTAATCCACAGAAAAAGGAAATGAGACACTGTAAATTGCTAGCATTGTCCTTCCATATTCTAGTAAATGTACATGTGAAGTTTTTGTGGAAAGGAATAGGTGAAGATAAGAAGTATTTGCAATTTGGTGAGGCTTCCTAGCAAACAATCCCATTGATTGTGGTATGATATCATGTCACATATGTTGCAACCAAGCATTTTTCTCAACAATCACGTTGTTAATTGTAGCAACAATCAACAGGAAGAGGATCCCATTGGGATGCCTGCAAGGTATGATTTAAAAAAGTAACACAGTATGATTGAAAGCTACATGATGCATATTATGAAACAGGGAATAAAAAAATAAGGAGCCTATTACTTTGCACCCAATCCCTATGATACAGTTGGGAATCAGCCAAAATTATTTACTTTTCACTCCAGCATCCCCCACCCCTTTCCACTCAAAAGTACAAATAACAGAGGTGACAGTGAGTCACTTTAGAAGTCACTTTCCTAGCCTAGAAAATCAAATGTAAATGCTTTACCCCCTTCTTTACAATGTGGAACATGTTATTCCTTTCAGTGGAATATTGAAGTTGGAGTTAGAGGAAATTTTATCACTGCAGAATCTTACGGTGTGATTTTTACTTCTATTTCTCACTGTTCAGAAGTAAAGATGAATAGAAACTGCATTCAGACTTCCTTGTAGAGGTTTCAGAAATGAAAGTCTCATGGTGAACAAAGAACTGCCCTTGTGTTTCATTCTTTTGCAGAGAATCTGGAGATTTTTCTACAGGCTGAAAAGAGATGCAAAACGTAGAGGGTGATATAATACTGCTGGTATCTTTTAAGTGATTATGTGCCATGAAGTTGTTGTTGGCTGTTAGTGACCACATATATTTTTCTCTGTGATGAAACATGTCAGTTCTACATAAAGCACTTTTAAACAAAATAATAGTTGGCCACATTATATGAAATAAAATGGCAAGGAAAGGCAAATGGGACCAGGACAACTCAGTGCAGCCACTTCATTGCTGCCAGCTCACCACCACCAAGTTGCCTCTGTCCACTCACAGCCACCAAGTCGCCACTTACCATGGGTGGCAGGAAGAAGAGCTGGATGGGCGAGCAAGCAAACATGAGCTGGGGGGCTTCCCACCTCCCCTGCCACTGGGACGAAGGTGCTGGGAGCAACAATAGTGGTGGGCAAAATGGGCAGCAGGGAGGTAGTGGCCCTTGGGGACATCTGTTTTCACATGTTTAAAGAAAACATGTTGTGATGGTCAAAATCAATGTACTTTATTTAGGCCATTGACCAGTTTTATGTATCATAAAACATGAAATTTGTGGTATAAAAGAGGACTATTTAAATCTCCTTCCCTTAAGATACCCATTGGTTATGATAGAGGGATTTCTCTCTATCTAATTTCATGAAGATGTTTTGCAGATGGCTTTGAAATAACAGTTAAGATAATTGAGGGTTTGGATAATAGTATTTTTCATGACCAGCATCTGCCTAAATGTTTAATTAGATGTTATGTCTATATGTGTTGCTCATTTTAAGTAACAACCCATACTGTAATTTCTATTACTTTTGGGTCTCTTTAACTAAAGGTGGAACTAGGGAATTATGAATGCAATGTCATTATCCATGTCTGAAATATACTGATATTATGTAAATTATATTTAATGTTATTATATTTTTATACAATATGATTTCCATTTCTTGGAAAAGTAATTTATGTCAATATTAGTAAGCCCAAGAAAGCCCACAAGCAAGATAGAATAAATAGTACTAATTAGATATAGTTTGACAAAAGCATGGAATTATATAAGGAAAATAACAACAATTGTTTTCAACAATTGCACCATTATTGCACCATTAACCTCTTTTTCAAATGCCTTCAGTGTTAGAGATAGAGTAAGAAACATGGAATTACATATGCAAACAAGACCCACTCAGATTCAATAAATAGAAGGCACAGCAAGAATTGTTCAGTGAAGATCAGAATGTTCTGTGATTTATATATTTATAAATTGCTAGAAGTATAAAATCTGATCTTAAGAAGAGTGGAGGATATTAAGAAAAAAGATAGAATTCAAAGTTCTTATATAAAATAAAAAACATCTGCAATCCCGTTGCGAACCGGTAGTAAAGGTAAATAGAACCCGCCCCCGGGCTATAGACCATATCAAGCTCATCAGGTTGACCTCCTCAGCTGGTTACTTAGCCTTCAGACCCATTTTTCCTCTTCTCACTCTATCCTGCATCCAGATGTAATTATCTTATCATGAAATATAAAGCATGCTCCTTTATGGTAAATAGTGGGGGGAGGAAGATGGAGGGAATTAATTTGTCAACTATTTTGCACCATAAAGACAAGAAGAGAAAATTGTGCTATATTTCATCTCAACTAAGTAGTCTATTGTTCATATGAATCAGTAACTGACCCCAATGTGTTTATGTTCTATTTTTTTTCCTTTTTTTGCACAGTTTGATCTTGTTTTCCTTGAACGACTCACTTTGATCCTCATAAAACAAGGGCAAGCATTTCCAAAGCAAATTGTTGCTTAAGGGACAAATTTGAAGGGAAACTGTGGGACACTGAGGGGTTAATTACTGACATGGACTATAAAAATGACATTCAGATATAATATTTCTTATTTAAAGTGAGAGGCTCTTTGTGTGTGTGTGTGTGTGTGTGTATGTCTGTGTCTCTCTCTCTCTCACACACACACATGTATTACATATGTGTATGTATGTACATAATAAAATTATGAGATATCAGTGTTTAAGAATGGAGGAAATAAGACAATGAATATTTATTAAAGTATGTGGCCCTGTGCTATCCTTTAGAAACAAGGTTTACAGAACGCCCTCAAGGTTATCAGTTCAAGAATGCAACAATTAGAATGAAAATTTTCTTTCTCAACCATAATAAAGTTAGAAACAAATATTGTAATAAATAGGCAAATGAAGACAAGAACAGAATTATCAGCTTAGTGTCCATATGGTATCTTTGGAATTTAGAATATATCTACATCTGCAAAGGCAACACAGTGGTTTGTTCTCTGATTTACCCTACCATTATTTTATATACAGCATTACATTTGGAGCAAGAATTAATCAACTAGCGGCTAGCCCATATCAATACTGCCAGCAACAGGTGTACAGATGAAAATAAAATTATTATATGAAAGCTTTGCTCACAATTGGTTGCTAATAGTTCTTATTGTTATGGGACAGTTTTGTATTGTTTATTTTACTGTTTGTACTTTTATTATGAATGAAGGCAAATATATGTGTCCCAGGATCATGTTGCAGGATCCGATCTGGGTTGGTCACTGGGACTAGAGGTTTTGTCTTCCAAGCTGGGCTCCAGCATGAATCTATGTCTCGGAAGACAAACCTCTGATCCCAGTAATTGACCCAGATCGGATCCTGTACTTTTATTGGTCAATGACTAAAACAAAGTTTCTGTCTGGATGAAATTACTACAGATATTTGTTAGTTCATGTATTTTGGCTTTGTTTATTCTATTAGCAATCTCAAAAGTCTGTGAATAGAATTCCCTGATTTCTATTAAAGTAGTACTACAAAAATATTGGATGTCCTTTTGACTTTTTTTTTTTTTTAATGGAAAGGCTAAATGGGTGCTTTTAAATTCCTTATAGAATTTATATAATTTCTAAATTCATTTGAACTTGTAAAATATTGGAGGCCACTTTGCCTTTCCATTAAAGAGTCAACCAGATGGAAGTGGACATGGATGGTAGAGGAACCTGGTAAACTGAACATACTTTAGATTACTGATAATTTAATTGATGTTAAAGCAGTTATATTGTTATCTTGCAGACAATGGAAAGTCTGTGCAGTGGAAGCTCGGTGCAGATGGTGATATCTGGGTATGGATAATGGGAGAACACATGCTGGATAAACCATATGACCTTCTGTGTAGTGAGATTCTTGCTGAAAGAGTGAAGCGACAGTCACTTCAGCAAGTAGAGACAGTAAGGTTAGTACAGTCTTCCAATATTAAAAAGAAATACACCAAATCTGTCATTAAAAGGAATTTAATTGTAGTCCCTTTGCTCTGGTATCCTGTCTAATATCTCTGTTTAAGAGTTTCAACACTAGAATAAATATTTGTTGTTGCAATATTTTTAATTGATTAAATATGTTAAAATCTTCTGGTTAGTTCTGGACTTCCCTCTCAGTTTAATTTCTTGTAACACTTTTTGGATTTTTTTCTTCCATTTTCCTCTTAACTGCTGTATTGTATTGTATAAAATGTCCTTGTATCGCATCCCAAACTGTTGTCAAATTTCTTCCCTTACCTAAATTATTATTAAAATGGTCTTGAAGTACCTATTTATATTCTTTAACAATTTGTGGTCTCTTCAAGATAGACTCATTTAATCTCCATTTAAGAGATTGAGGTCCAAATTTAAGGTGTAAAGACACTGGATTATGGTCAAAAAAAGTTTTCGGAAGAATAATGGCTTTAGTTGCTTGTAAAACCAAATATCAATTCTAGAAAAGGATTTGTGTCTCTCTGAAAAAAAAGTAAAGTCTTTTGTTAGTCCATTTTTACATTTCCAAACATTGATTAAAAAAAGCTTGAAAAAAGTTTGGGGCAGTTTCCCTTGTGTTTCTTTATCCACTGATCTGTCCAATTATGAGGATACTACCCCATTATAGTCTCCAATTACACACCAATACTGAAAAGAATAGGTGAGTAAATGTTCTGACAGATGTTTAATACACACACACACAAACATGTACATGCATATTATATATATATACATGTGCAAAATATAATACAGTATGACAGGATGCTTTCAATCATCCCTCTATAGAAAGTGGTAAGGATAGTGGAAGGAAGATGTACTCTTCTCATATGATGAGAAAATGCAGACGCTGCTGTGCCTGCTTTACCAATGTCTCATTGTTGAGTGATGAAGTCAACCTGCTCGACAGCTGCACACTCAGAAACTTGATACTACTAACCACCTCCACAATTGAATCATTAATATACAGAGGTGTATGGCTGTGCCTGCCTTTTCTGAAATCAACAACGATCTCTTTTGTTTTTTCTTACATTTAAAACCAGACTGTTTTTATTATACTAGTTCATCAACTCTCTACCTCCTCCCAGCATTATCATCCTGAATAAGGCCCGCCATTGTTGTACCATCTGGATACTTCACAATATGGTTGGCTGCAAACCTTGCACAACAGTCGTGGGTCAACACGGTGAATAATAACAGACTTAAGAAACAGCTCTGAGGAGAACCTGTGCTCAAAAACATGGTGTTAGAAAATTAGTTCCAACTCGCACATACTGGGGCCTATCAGTGAGAAAAACCAAGAACCCAGTTGCACAAAGGAGTATTGAAGCCTAAAAGACCCAGTTTATTTACTAAATGCTGAGGAATGATCGTATTAAATGCTGAACTAAAGTCAACAAATATCATTTGCAGATGAGTATTTCTTTCCTCTTAAGCTCTCCAAGATCAGATGAAGAACAGAGGAAATAGCTTGTAAGGGAGGATTTTGTAAGTTAAATGAAGTCACCACACAGCAGACTGACAAGAACCTTAAAGAATGTGGAATGAAAGAAGGAAGACCAAGAGGACACCATTCATCCTTAGTTTCAACTGTGAAATGTTCAGGACAGGAAGAAGAACCCTATATGTGATTAAATAAAACAGGAGTTCATTATTTAGTGGGCAGGATTGTTGACAGGTCCTTGAGGCAGGTAGAACTTCTGTATTAGAAGTCTCCCATTATTCTTTTTTTTTTTTTTAATTTTAAAATACAAACTTTATTGAATTTAAAAATATTGTCAAGAAAAAAAAGAGAAAATATACAAATTTTCTTACTCATAAAATTTACATTTTCAATCCACAATTACACTAACAAACTAAATATATGTGATTATATAAACACATATATACAAATATACAAACAGTGACTTATTTACCTATTCTGTCCATCTGACGGTGCATTTTTTTTGTTACTTGCATTTCCCCTAATTCTTATCTTTACCCTTTTTTCCTTTGGTTTATCCACTTATACCATCTATTCCATACTATAAAACCCATTATTCTTTATAACTGCAATTATGCAGCTGCTAGTGATTGACATTTTAGTTCAAATGCAGATGCTGGGGAAGAGGACATTCAATTTTTTTCTCCAATATCCAATTCTAAAACTAACTTCATGAAGCTGATGTTGGTTTAGAGGCCCAGCTCTGTAATTTTCATAGCAAGACTATCGATAGTTTCTATAACAGAGAAGTGCCATTGATCAGAGAAGGAAAGAAGCAAGCAATTTCAGTTATATCCGTATGAATCTTTCATATAATCTAAATGTGGGAAAATATTAATAGTGATTTATTTGTCTTGGTTAATTTAAGAGCCAGCCTACCAGTGAATCACTTCAGTACTATGTAACATCCAGATTTAGGATATGAAGGTAGAGATATAGTTCCCTTTTTTTACATTAACTCCTACTGCAGCTTCCTGTATTTGCTGCACATGCAGGTAAAAAACAAAGTTGTTTGAAAAGCTTCTGTTTCCTTGAAAAACTCTTTTTCTTATTTTATAGAAGAACACCAATGGAAAAAGCTACAGAGAGTTCAGTATCATCTCCTCCACAGTTTCTATCAGAGCTCCAACCTGGATTTGAAATACTGCAAGACAAAAAAAATGTTGTGCAAAGAGATGTACCAAAGAGAGTGGAAAACATACCAGCTGTTGGAAATCGCAGAAATCTAGAATGTATTCAGGTAGTGTTGTTGTTTCTTACTATTCAAACATTAAAATGAAAGTTAGCAGAGAGGGAAAAAATTCCATTGCGAATCCAATGAATGATGCTTTTATGAGTTACTTGGAGTCTCAGTGAGCATTCAAGTGAATCAACACTGAGGGAATGATGAAGGTTAACTTGTTTGCTTTGGTAAGTTAAACCAAAAAAGCCTATTTGTGCCATAATGCTCAACCTATGCCTCATCCCATTACAGGTGACACACTTGTATCAAAAATTGCTGCTGCAGTGTGATATTGCTGAGCACATTGTAAGCCGCCCTGAGTCTCTGGAAAAGGGCGGCATATAAATCAAATTTTAAAAAAAAATTATGCATTCAGGATATAATAATTTTAATTTATATGTCAATTAATGACATAAAAATGGCTTTATTTGCACTGTATACTTAATTGGATCAGAAGAGTAAAGTTGTCATGCAAAGCCTAAAATTCAAGATAATCAGCCTAGCTAATTGAGCTTAAATTTTGGGGGGACTAAACTAATTTCCCGAAATCATCCCTCAGCAGAATTATTTGAATATTAACTCTGTTTCAACATTTGCAATGAAAATAATATTTTTGAGTGATTCTGCAAGATTGGTACTACATCCTTGTATTTTAGTTTTATTTCCACCTCCACCTCATAGCTGCACCAGGTTATACTAAAAAAGGGGCTAAAATAACTGGGGAGGAACATTTCCCTCATTACTGTTATTTTCCTCCTCTATCCTAGAACCATTTAATATATAAAATTAGATACAGTATTTCTTTCAATGATTTTTTATTACTTATTTTTACTTGTATTGAATAGTAATTAATTGGAGTTTAGACACGTTACCTTTTAGATAAAAGCAGGAATTGTCAAGAATAGTTTTTCAGTGAAACCACTTAGTAGTACTAATGTACTTATATGTTAATGGCTAAAAAAAAGGCATGTTTGTCAAGGAGGCTGGTTCCTAGGTCACCTGGACTGGTAGATAAGGGAAAAACAGGACTATTTATTCCCTTCACTGATTAAAGAAGGTAATCAAGAACTGAAGAAAACACTTGAAAAAAAGCTCTGAGTTACTGAGCTATAAATACAGCCTTATAATGGTTATAAGCATAATGGTTTATCAAAAGGGAATATAAAATAAAGGAATCTCCTGCGAACTTTTAAAGAAAAAACTATTTTATTTTAAATGTGTTAGGTTCTTTTGGTATTTTGCTATCATAAACTGCAAAATAAGCTTACTGTAGAGTGCGAAACCTGGCTCTTAAGGAACATAATAACTCAATACATATAGTGAGAAGAATAGTATCTCAACAGCATCTGACAGTGCAAAATGTTTCCATGATCCTTTCTGCAGTCAAAAAAGCTGGCAATATCTAGTTAGCCATAGCTGATTTTAAAAAAGCTGACCAGAGTCAGGTCCTTTTAGTGGCTAGAAGGATCATTTCCAGGTAATCCCAAGGCTGTAGACTAAACTGGAAGGTTGGGGGAAAGCGAGCAACAAGAGTAAGAATAACTGAGCACATGATCTTAAGAGTGGTGAAGCAAGCTTATTTCTTTGTTCTTGTTGAATCTTGTTGAGAGAGAGAGAGAGAGGGAGGGAGATATATATATATTATATATAATATCTTCTGTATTATATTCTTTCTGTATATAGAAAGAATCTTACATATATAATACTTCTGTATTATATTCTTACTTTCTCTTTCTTCTCTCTTTTTCTTGCACTTTTTACTCCTTTCTATTCTCTTTTAGTTTGTATTAGATGTTACAATTACTATGTATATTACTATTATTTTACTAATAAAAATTCTTAATAAAAATTACATATGCTAATTACTGGCTGGAGGTTGAGATATATAATTGATTAACAGTTATAAAAACAGTACATTGATGATACCATACTCTGTGCTCCTGCAGTGATCTCAGATAGATGTTAAAGAAGACGGGGAGAGTCCTGAGGCACCCCACATTACAGAGGCCTTGGGATTGACTTCTTCCCTCCCTCTCACCTTACAAATATTTATCTTTTCATCCCATATGCCCATGATGGTGAACCTATGGCACGAGTGCCACAGGTGGCATGGGGAGCCATATTGGTGGGCAGGCGAGCTCAGCTCCAGCCAGTTATTTTCGGGCCTTCTGGGCCCACCGGAAGTCAGGAAACACACTGTTTCCAACCTCCGGAAGGCCTCTGGGGGCGTGGGGAAGGCCATTTTCACCTTCCCCAGGCTTCTAGAAAGGCTCTGCAGCCTAGAGAGAGCGAAAAATGGGCCTACCGGGCCCACCATGCCATCACGTGCCAAAAGCAGGGGGAGTGCAGGAGCGGGGTCATGTGTAGGAGGGGTGGGGCGCATATGCATGCGTAGGGGGGTGGGGCGCATAGAATTATTGATGTGGGCATGCATGTGACACCGCACCCCCCCCGCACTCTCCCCGCTTTTGGCACGCGATGTCAAAAAGGTTAGCCATCACTGCCATATGCCATTCTCTTTTCAATAAACAACTCCATGCAACATTATGTTTCAGTCCTAGTGTCAGCAGAAAGTCCATTAAGGGGTACCAGAAGTAACAACATTTTGCTGTAACCTTGATCAAATAAACCAAAATATAAACCAAACTTTATATTCCTACCTTTTATTTCTAACAATCTAAATCTTTAGTTCATTTAAATATTATCATAAAATTTTATTCCTTTTCATTTATTTTTATCCAATTGTACAGAGTTCTTCAAAACTTTAAATCCAATAGGAAAAACTATCTTAATCCCTCTCTTGGTTTGCCATTTGTGTTTCCTTTTAAATTTTAAAATCAGGGTTTTATGTAGATCCAGTAAAACATCCTTTTCTGAGTCATTATTTTGGCTGTCAGCTGTAACTATCATACTATCTCTAATTTGAAAGGTAAAATTTATTCTACACGTCATTTTTTCAATATTATCTTTTGCATATAATCTATATAGAAGCAAACATCAGTACTGACATTATTGATATTGTGGCTAATATCTTTTTATTCCATTCTTCAAAAGTGTCCTTCAGTATTTTTACATTTAGTAACATTTTACAGACTTGAAAATCTTTCTTCTATTTAAAAACTTGTCTAGTATTCAATTTTTGAAATTATGAAACTTATCTTTATTTTGTCTTGTAAAAATAAAAGCAGAATCCATTTCCCATAGTAAGCTGTTCGATTTTTATAATTATTTCCAAAATCTTATTGCAAATTCAAATTGTATCTGGATTCTTAGCCTGTTTATAACTTTCTAAGATCAAGTCTTATTTAGCTTTTTGTCATTTATTTCAGAAGATGTGTGTGTAGTTAAAGTTGCTGAGCTTGTCAGATGGAAAGGTGACAGCCCAGGTTCGAAACACAAGCACTATGCAACGGGATGAGCTCCTGTTCTTATCCCAGCTCCTGCCCACCTAGCAAATTAAAAGCATGTAAATGCAAGTAGATAAATAGGTACCATTTCAGTGGGAAGGTAACAATGTTCTGTGCCCCTTGGTGTATAATCATGCTGGCCACATATTCACAGAAGCGTCTTTGGACAACACTGGCTCCCTTGGCTAAGAAACAGAGATGAGCACTACCCGGTAGAATCAGATATGACTGGAGAGGGGAAACATTTACCTTTATTTTCTTTCAGTTAAAGTTTTAAGCTTATGCTTAAAATTGTCTTTCATTCAGGATTGAAGAGATTCAAGCGGCATTTTCAAATTTGTCGATATGAGGGTCTCTAATAGCTTAGAAGTGGTTAATGAGCTAGTTCCAAAAGTGATCAGAAATTAGGTTTTCAAATTTAACGTTTAGCATATTACATGCAATGTTACTTCTTCTGTTCTGCATGAACGCTTTTGAATACTTAGATATTAAGTTGTTTCTTTTCTTTTTTAGTTTACCTATGTTGCAAAGAATTCAGTGCAGTGTATACTTCCTCTTCTCCATTCCACAAAATTCTGTGACGGATGAGCCTGAGAGATAGTAATTGGCTCAAAATTATGCAATGAATTGCCAAGTAGGGAGGGAGGCATTTGAATCAAGCAGGATCTATTAAAGGATTTTACTCTCTTGAGTTTCTGAAGCACCATTGGATCTTAGCTTTCTATTTGTGTAACCAATTAGGCGTTGTTTTGGTATTCAGTAATTGCAGCTACATCTCCTCAGTGATGTCAATTCCAAAATAAAAACTGCAGGCGGTTACAGTTGTGAAAGTGAACAGTAAAAAATAGATGGGTGGAGGAAGCAAATGGAAAATTTCTTCCACCACTGCCTGCAGTCAAAATAGAAGAAGAGTGAAAGGATATTTCAGAACAGAGCAGGTTCTACATTTTTGAAATTACTTCCATCTGTGACTTGATAAGAAATATGCAGGTATAAAAATATTTAGGTAGGGCAAAGTGTAAACAGAGTTGGAGGAATGGTTGGGAAACCTTTTGCTGAAGTCAACAAACATACAGCTGAAGAAAATCTCCCACTATAATTTTGTTTCAAAGGTTCTTCAGTTCAAAGGTATTTTCAGTCAATAAAAAATACTGTTAAAATTGGACTGTTGCTGAAAATGGCTTTACTGAAAACCCATTAGTGAAAAGAAGTAGAAAGAATATTGACTCATTGTGGCCATCATTGTCTATGTATGTTAATATTTTTTTTTATTTGATTTATATGCCGCCCTTCTCCGGAGACTCAGGGCGGCTTTCAATGTGTTAAGCAATAGCCTTCATACTTTTTGTATATTTTTATACAAAGTCAGTTTATTGCCCCCATAACCTGGGTCCTCATTTTACCTACCTTAGAAAGGATGGAAGGTTGAGTCAACCTTGAGCCTGGTGAGATTTGAACTTGCAGTAATTGCAGGCAGCAGATGTGGATGTTAATAACAGTGCTTTAGTCTGCTGAGCCACCAGAGCTCCTAAATGCTAAAAGTATGGAAAATAATCAAGATGATGGTGAGTTCTTTCTCTTTTTCCATATATCTATGATAAACTGGAAATAAATACAAGAAGGTTGACATTCCTTTATTCCTATCTCATTGATCTAGGCTCCTGTGACTAAACTAAGAGATGTGGAGCAGATATTGGTAGACGATTGCTCTAATTCAAGCAAATATAATTTTCAGCAGGTAAGAAAACAAAACAAATCTCTATGGGCATATACAATGCAAAAAACATTTTGTCTTCACCTTCAGTAGGAATGCCATTTTCTGAAAGCAATCAAACCCAAATGTAGTTAGAAAATAACCCAGTATGCACTCATGTAAATACTCAAACTTGCATTTCCAGATGATCTTGTTAATTTATTGTATTTGATGGGAGTGGGCAATAAATGGTATCACCAAAATTGTGGCAGGGGGTTGTGAAAAAAAGACTTTAAACAGCCACTCTCTTAGTACATTTTCTTGGTGAAACATCTAAGGTCCAAATTAGGGAAGACAGATATATTTGAATCAGCAATCACATTTTTTCAGACACAATTCTAATTTCTAATATTATTGATTAACATACACTATCTGCTAGACTTTTTCAGCTCAGACAAGAAAAAGCATTAGCTATCATTGAATGGAGACATTGGCTCTTAAAGTGGCTTGTAGAGTATCATATTCTTGGTGTCAGGGCAACTTTCCTTCATACTTGGAGGTACCAGGTCAAAGAGGAGCTGGTAACCTTAATTTTGATCTGCAATTTAAGTTTTAGTAAAATCACCAAGTTATGACAACATACAAAACATATGGTTCTTATAGGATCAAATGCTACAACTATTTATGAAGACAAAATGTGAATTATTAGCATGGAAGAAAATTATTGGTATATTGAAGGAAACCATTACTGTTGTCTATCTTTGACAGAATAAAGAAATGCCAATGAAGACGACCACCACCGAGACCAGAATAGGAGAAGAAATAACTTTAGATTACCCTTCTGAATCAATTCAAAAGCTGGACAAAGAAGATCCTGATTGGCTGGAATCTTGTGCGGCATGCTAATATTGGCCCTTTTATGTGACCATGCTTATGATTTTGAATGGAGAAAGGATATACAAGGCCAACTATACAGAATAATATTTTCCCCTCAAATTGTATACGCTTTTAGCTCTCCAAGGAATCCACCTATCTGGAGAGCTATGTTGACTAAATCAAATACCAAGTTGCAGTGCAGATCAGACTGAAGGCATCTCCACCGCTCAAGGTGTCCACTGCACATTCTATTCCCCAATCCCGTAAAAGCATTGGGAAGCTGATACATGGTTCTCATCACTCATTGCCAATCTCAAAACATGGAGAACAGTATTAGGATGAGAGAGAGGTGAAGGGAGGTGGGGGTTTCCATCAATGGAGGATAGACTCCCCAAAAACTTTGCTGAATTGCAGTGCTTCAGAAAAAGAAAAAGAAAAAAGGAAAGGGGAAAGGGAAAGTGGGGGACAAAGTAGTTCTTCTATACAACAGACTGGCTATACTAGGGAATCGAGCTAATGTCATGAGAACCGGAAAGTTCAAAGCTGATTCTGAACTGCTGTCCCGGAAACTGCCTTCATTATGGAAGTTCATTCATGTACCAGAATAATTTTACATGTAGTTTATTCTCTCTGGCTTTCTCCCTCTCATGGGCATGATTTCATAATCACTATAATCACATAACCACTATAAAAGTGACATAATCACTTTTTTCACCTATAGTGAAAAAAGGACCGGGTAACAATGTTCCTTCTCAATTTCAGTACGGAGGTCCAAAGCAGCAGATGAAAGACGACGCTCCCTTGCCAAACATGCACGAGATGACTACAAGAGACTCTCCTTAAAAGGCATCCGCAAGGACAAAGCAGCTGATGTTTCTCAAACCTTTATGAGAGAGGTGCAAAGAAAGCCACTCCCTCCACCTCTTCCACCAAAGCCTAAAAACCTTACAGCTAAAATAACTGATGGGAAACCAGAGAGGTTAGTAAATTAATAGTTGCTTAAGCTATTGCTTAACGCATTGTAAGCTGCCCTGAGTCTCCGGAGAAGAGCGGCATATAAATAAAAAAAAATAATAATAAAAAAATAGTGGGGTGGGGTGGGGGGAAGTCATTGTATTGCTGAAAAAGATATATACAGCCCAAGATGGCTCTGCTGAATATCGTATTTCTTCCTTTTCTAATTCTATGAAATTGAACTGGAAACAATAAACCTTGCTTGCAATAGCAATATTATACATAGATTTAAATTATATAATTGGACAGTCTCATTGCATGGTATAAAAATCAAAAGACTTTAGGTAAGACCTGGGCATTTTATAGTTGTGAGCCATATCTGGCATTTTGGCTGGCCCATGGTGGTGGCTGGGCATCATTGTCAGGGTTTGAAGCATCAATAAGGCAGTATGGTGGAGGGGGCAGGGGCAGTGCGGCAGCCCACCACAAACAGTTCCAGTTTTTCAAGAGGCCCCTTGGGAAAATTACTCAACCCTGCTTTAGTTAATCCAAAGCATTGAAGAACTAATTATTGCCCTCCCATATATACTGCTGGGTGGAATTATTTAATCTTACATTCTTTTTATAAAAAATATAGTACTATTAGCTTATATCAGGGGTGTCAAATTCAAGAGCCAGGGGTCGGATCCAGCCCATGGGGTGCTTAGATCTGGCCCAGGGGGCTGCCCTTGAGACAGCAAAGGACCGGCCTGCAGTGCCTCTGCCAGTGAAAACGGAACTTGGGAAGGTTGTTTGCGGCCCTGCCGAGCTTTCTTTTCACTGGCAGAGGGTTGCAGGAGGCCATCGCAGCCGAAACAGAGATTTGGAGCACAGCCTCCCCCACATGAGTGATGTAGAGCTGGCCAAACCCACTCCAACCCCCCAAGGTCAAATACAACCCTGATGCAGCCATCAATGAAATCGTGTTTGACACCCCTAGCTTATATGGTCCCTTTAAAAAAGAACGTATTTAATTTGAGGCTTCATATATATTGTAACATAATTTTACTTTCCTCACTCATACCCATACTAAGTATACTAATTGTCCTCCCTCTAAGAATCTTTTTCCACATATGTTAAATTAATTTCAGGTTTACCAACCCATCCTTCATTCTTGGAACATTGTCTTGTATTTACTAGTGTAACATGTTGGTAGATGATATTCCAGGAATGTCTTCCCACATTAAGCTGCCAGTAGCCATATTCTGGGATTCACCTCTTAAACCAAGGGTCAGCAACCTTTTGGACCTCAGAGACCACTAAATTAATAATTTTAAATCCCACGAACCACTAAAGTAATCTGCCTAATAACCAGGTGGGTGGGCTTGGCTAGGTGATCATGTGACTGTGTGAGCACGGTCAACACGATGTCACTCATGTTGAGGGGCGCCTCGCCGGCCTCTACTTGCTCCTCCCCTCCCAGCCCCTCGCCTGCTACTTGCCCCAGGCTCCTTAGCGCCCCAACAGGAAGCAGTTGTTGGAGCTAAGCAGCCACTATGAGAAAGAGTTGGTAAAACAGCTCAGTTCAAATTGGATCAGACTGAGAAGGAGGCTCAGCAGAAGCACCTCACTGAGAGCTAGGAGCATAGACTTTCCAAGCAGAGGGAAGACCTGCGGGAGTGCAAGGCCAGGTACCAGTGCCTGGAGGCTCAGTGGGCTGAAATGGTCAGCCAGTTCCAGGCCATGATGCAGTCCCACTGGAACAAGGCCCTCCGGCTCTTCGCCTGCCTGCCTGTCTGTTGTCCATCTGTCCATTCATCCATCCTCAAATTCCGCAAAAACCTCCTTCCAGATATCCTGCATTTAAGTAGTATTTTTTCCCATTCAATCATGCATTTCATTAAGAAATGTGGTGGCTCAGTGAGTTAATGATGCTGGCGAAGGTTTCTGCTCCAGCATGTCAGGGTGAGCTCCTGTCACTTGCCTCAGCTTCTGTCCATCTAACAGTTTGGAAACATATTCTATGTGAGTAGATAAATAGGTACCATTTCGGTGGGGTGACAAATTGATGCCCTGTGCAGGCAGTCAGATTCCTGCAATCTCAGAACCTTCCAAGTTGTGGTACCCATTTACAAAGCAACTCTGGGAAAGGAGAGGGCTTAGGATGATACTGCAGATACTGTCTTTCCTTCTGATGTGAAGCCAGCTTGCCCTCTATTGGTGCACCTTGAGAAGCGTGTAAGTGTGTCCCACAAGAGAACTGATAAATTGACAGCCAAAATATTACTCTGCATGGTCTCCTGGCTAGTGTAACAATGCCATATACTAAATAATCGTAATAATCATAATCATCATCATAATAATTTGGACATCAAACGGGTGGTTGGGCTGCCATGGCTGGGCCTGGATGGCTATTGGATGACTATTACTGGTTCTCCGAATTACGCAGAATTTCTGCTACCGGTTCTCCAGAACTGATCAGAATCTGCTGAATACCATCTCTGGCTTATAAGCAGTATCCTGAAAAATGGGAAGTGAGCTTCCTATAATCTTCTCAGCTGTCCTTACCACTCTCTGTATGAACTTTTTATCCGAGGCACTGCTGCCACAAAATCAAACTGAATGAAGTGGTGATTTCAGGATTTACTGATTAAAAAAGATTGTTTATGTGAAGAAAGGAACCGTGTTACATAATTTGGAAGGGCAGAAATGGTAATAATCATGTTTAGAACTGCTGCAAAAAAAAAAAAAATCAGAACTTGCTTCTTTATATATTTCTCTTTTTTTAATCTTTCTTTGTCTTTTACTGTTTTCACTTTTCAATCTTTTCATACCGGTATCTTTTTTTGGTTTTCTAATTTTCTTTTTTTTTCTTTCTATAATTTTTAATCCTGTACAATGTTCTTTTTCAATAATATATTTTAGTCTAAAGATTACTGTGTTTTTAATGCACATTTCCTAATGCGTAAGTGGTTTTTTCCCTTCTGCATTAGAACTGAATTTATATCAAGCTAAATATTTAAACCACCTATTCTTTTGCTATGGCAGAAAACAGAGCTTACAAAGATCTATCTCCAGTTCTACTCAGGAGGGTATAGTTCGATGGTTTAAAGAAGAGCAGATCAATCTCCGAGCCGGCTTTGAGAAATCAATGGATCAGATAGCACCTTGGTTTCACGGTACTGTACAGTCACTGACTTATCTTAATCAAAAGGTATAGAATTCAGCCTGAGAGCAGTCTAGGATGGAGCATTCACATGTCTACTGACATACTCTTTCTTTCTAAATTGAGCACCATCTTTCCCCAACGTGAAGACTTACTGTATATTACACAGACAAATGATGTTTTTGTTCTCCTTGCCACCGATACAAGCTACAGAGTGGTTTAAAATCTGTACTCAGTTATCTGGAAATGCAATTAATTTGATTCTAAATATTGCAAGCATAGAAGAATTCCATTAGATGCAAGAATATAATGCCTCATTTCTTCTTGTCTAGAAAGAGATTGCAGTTAGGAGAATTCAGAGAACTACCAGACTAATAAGAAATATCATAGTTATGTAAGGGTTTCAACAAAATAAAGAACATTTCTATTAAATTTCTCCTATATAGTATGCTAAACCAGGATGTTTCAGTGCCAATCAGAAAGATTCGATTTGTAGAACAAATATTTATCTGATATCCAGTTCTTAAAATAGGAAGAAAAGTCCTGTACAATTAGAATAAAATTCCAGTTATTTTTTTAATAAGGAAAAATAAATACAATAGAAATAGTTTAGCAAGTTTCTAACTAGATCTCCAGAAAGAAATAATCTTGTTTAAAGTTACAGGTTACTCATTTACAATTACAATATTAGTTGCAATTATAGTATTACAAATACTGCAATAAAATATTTCACCTGGCTGAATCTGTTTGGCCATTTTAATTATGGGTTTATGACTATAATAAAATATTCTCTCTCATACAAAAGGATTAGTGTCTATAAAGTTTTTTCAGCATTTGAAATATGATGTATAAATCCAGGTAATCCTTGACTTAACGATTAATCATTTTACAGCCATTCAAAGTTACAATGGCCATGGAACAGATGCTTTATGGCTGGTCATGGAATTCTGCAGTCACATGACCACAATATTTGCAATATTTTTGCTGATTTGAAATGAATGGGTTTGCTTAACGACCACCATGTTCATTTAATATGAAAAATTAAGGTTGGAAAATTATTTTCAGTCATGACTGAAAATTATTTAGTCATGTGCCTTAATTTATAAACATAACAATTTATGACCAGTCCCATTTACATTTACAGTTGTAGGTCAAGAACTATCTGTATTGATGATAATTTTACAATAAATAATCTAAGAATTCCTTGGCCAGGATCAACCATGAGCTTTGGAAAAGGAGAAACCTTGAGAAAATCAGATCTATATCTTCAGTACAGTAATATGAAAGCAGCATGTTTTCTGCAGTAATGAAGGTTCTTGTAATGATTATATAATGGATTTTCCATTTTTTTCAACCTGTTTTAGCTGTGGCTGTTAACTTAAAAAGAAGTAAAAAAAATTGGAACCCCTGCTGCCTGCTTCTCGGGTCTATGCAGAGTGATGAGTCCTTACAAGCACAAACACCTGCTATGTGGATAGGGCTTCTGAATGTCAGTTGACAAGTCCTGACTTTTCTGCCATATCTTTGAAAAATGCTATGGGTGTTCCTATGTTTAAGAAAAGCGGGGTTATTTTTTTGCTTTTTAATCTGTCAGGAAACTCTAGGGTTCTGCAAAACACATTTTTAAAAAAGCTGCCACTAAGACTATGCAGTATTAACTGGAAAAGTGGTTAAGTAAATGAAAACTCTGGACAAATAATCAGATAGAAGGACAAAGACAGAAGGTTACTCTTTTTTTAAGAGCATGTTTCCCATGTAACACATGGGGTACTTCCTTATTTATATTTCTTTTGTTTTGAGAACAGGTATTTTAACCACCAAAAAAGCAGAAGAACATTTGGAGGGTTTGGCACCTGGAAGCTTTCTCATCCGAGTCAGTGAAAAAATCAAAGGCTATGTTCTCTCCTATTTGTCAGCCGAGGGCTGCAAACATTTTCTGATAGATGCTTCTGGAGATGCATATAGTTTCCTTGGTGTTGACCAACTCCAACATTCAACATTAGCTGACCTAGTTGAATGTCACAAGGTGGGCCTCTTATTTTTCAGCACATTCTATACAAAAATTAGAAGTTTCTGTAGAATGTATACAGTACAAAGGCAGGGTTGTTGTTATTAGTTGCAAAGTCATGCCCGGCCCATCATGACCCCACAGACAACTTTCCTCCAGGCCTTCCTGTCCTCTACCGTCCTCTGGAGTCCATTTAAGATCACGCCTACTGCTTCAGTGATTCCATCCAGTCACCTCATTCTTTGTTGTCCCATTCTTCTTTTGTCTTTAGTCATTCCCAGCATTAGGCTCTTCTCCAGCGAGTCCTTCCTTCTCATTAGGTGGCCAAACCATTAGGTGAAGAGTTTCATCTTCAGGATCTGGTCTTCTAAAGAGCAGTCAGGGTTGATTTAGATTTAGATTTAGATTTTATTACACTTTTATACCGCCCTTCTCCCAAAGGACTCAGGGCGCTGTATAACCATCTTAAAACACATATACACTTACAAAATTTAAAAACAATTTAAAAACAAATATATAAAAATTTGGCCCACAAAATTAAAAACTAACAGACACCCAATTTAAAATTCCTATTAGGCCAGCCCGGCTTGTTGGAATACTAGAGCGGCGCGGCGCGGCGAATGGTACGCAGGTCGGGGATCATACAAACCTCTAGGGGCAGCTCATTCCAGAGGGCTGGTGCCCCCACAGAGAAGGCTCTCTCCCTGGGTTTCGCCAGTCGACACTGTTTGGCCGATGGCACCCTGAGGAGCCACTCTCTGTGGGAGCGAATTGGCCGGTGGGAGGCTATCAGTGGCAGAAGGCGATCTCGTATATATCCCGGTCCTAAACTATGGAGCACTTTAAAGGTGGTGACCAACACCTTGAATCGCGCCCGGAAGACCACCGGGAGCCAGTGCTTGCGCAGGAGAGATGTTACATGGGTGCGCCGTGTCGTCCCCATAATCAACCGCGCGGCCGCATTTTGGACCAGTTGGAGCCTCCGAGTGCTCTTTAAGGGGAGCCCCATGTAGAGTGTTACAGTAGTCCAGACGTGACGTGACGAGGGCATGAGTGACCATGTACAGTGCATCCCGGTCCAGAAAGGGACGCAACTGGCATATCAGGCAAATTTGATAAAAAGCTCCCCTGGCTATGGCCGTCATATGATCTTCCAAAGACAGCTGTGCATCCAGGAGAACACCCAAGTTGCGAACCCTCTCTGAGGGGGCCAAGATCTCGCCCCCAATAGTCAGCGATGGAACCCGCTGACTATACTGGGATGCCGGGAACCACAGCCACTCGGTCTTGGAAGGATCTTGATCTCCTCTAGGACTGACTATATAATTATATATATATAATTATACATAATATAATTATATATATGTTATATAATATATATATATAATTCTATAATTGCTTTAAAGGACAAGTTTGAAATTATCACCACTCCTTTCAATACAAATATATCTCTTTCCATCACACAATTACAGGCCAAATCCAAGTTAGAAGGCAAAATGCTTATTTAGTCTTTCCTCTGGTTACTTATCCATTCATACAATGCTCTTGCATAATACTATACAATATCAGATGAGATGAGAGAGTTCTGGGAAAACTAAAAAGGACAGCATGTCAGCAACTGTCAGTAAGTCCATAGCCAAATGATTGAGCAAATGAGAAAATGTCAATTTCCCTTAACTGCAATAAGCTCCATGAATTCTGGTGCTTGGTAAACAGCATTACCTACAGGGTCAGTTCTGAAATATTGTTTTGAAAAGTCTCTATGGTCATTTTTAAATTGAGGAAAAGTGAGCTATGGAAAATACATATCATTGGAATAGCATGTCTCTTAGTTGAGGGTGCTCCATTACTGAAGACTTTCAAGAAAATATAGGACAGCCATTTGCCCAGGAAGGTTTAAGGAATCCTGCCTTCAGCAAGGGATTGAACTAGAAGACAACCAAGGTGCCTTCCAGCCCTATGATTCTGTATTGGCTAGTGTTTGTGATGTCGTGATGAAATCAGGAATTTCCCTTCTGATTCACTAAAGCTATTTCACAATGTCAGAACTAAGCTCCAATTTAATTTTTTAAAAAACAACTATATTAATATAATTTGCCTTGCTACCTAAAATGCTTTGAAGCCAGCTGTAAATAACTAAACAGTCATTAATCGAAGATTAAATACTAACTTTACTGGAGTTCAGATCTTTGGGATACAACTTTAGAAGAGTGAATTCTTATCTGTGGTTCCTTTCTTTTTTAGGATGAGCCCATTACATCATTGGGGAAGGAACGTCTTCAATACCCATGTGGACAACAAGGACAGTTACCAGATTATCTTGATCTTTTTGAGTGATAGTCAAGTGTAGGAAAATCAGGAAGTCCAAGCAGTTCACATGAATATTAAAGTTTATTGGAAGCTTATGCTCTCTACAAGAATCTGAACTGTTACTGTCAAAGCAAATAGGTGGTAGATAAGAATGCAATTCAAAGTGGGCTGGAGTTAGATCTATTGTGGACACAAAGGGACTTGAAATTGATGATGCATCAATCTCCCTCAGGCTCAGCCTTATTATCTCCTACGGATATTTAGAAAATCCATTTACCATATGGAGGAAGTGTATGGAATGGGCAGCTGCTGACATGGAGCCAAAACCCTTTAATTATTACAATAGTCCCTTAACTGTAAAATTATTATTCAAGTATGCTTGATAAACAAGAAATAAATTCAATTAAGCAAAAATTGGGATCAAAATCCTAAAGAAAGCAGCAAAAGAATAAAACTACCATTACAGGCAATTGTGGTTATGAACTTTCTTTGTTTAAACTGAAATCTGACTGCATGAATTGCTGTTAAATGAAGTTATAAGGAACTATTCCAAAGAGTTGACATCTGACATCTCTCAATACATTCTTGAAAGGTTTGCATTTACATTTATAATCGTTTTATATCTCTACACTTTACTATATTGTAAGCTACTCAAAGTCACTTCGAGCCACAAGATGGGTGGCATTTAATGTTAATAAATAAATAAAAATGAAATGAAATAGTTGAGGAAAACTCCAAATGCAGAAGTAGTTAGAAGAATCTTCATAACTTCAAAACCCCTGTAAGGTTGGTTTTCCTCACCAGGAATGAGTAATGAGTATAAACATGCCCATAGTGCATCATAGAATAACGGGTGCATCAGAGCTTCCAACTGTTCACGTTTTTCTTGCTGTATTCTCTGTAAAACAACATCGTTGGATAGTCACAGAGTTGTTTCATAGGGGGTTGTTGTGTGTTCCTTTAAAAATGATAGTAGACATTGCATGGATCAAAAATCTTCACTGTCAGGTCTATGGTCTAGTTTAGAAAATGAGTCTTTGCATACTGGCAGGGCATGGGAGAATCAGATACATTTTTGTTTTAGCATGGATGAATATAAATTTGTAAGCATGGGTACAATATGCTTTTCTTCCCTTTTTCTTTGCATCCAAACTTACCAGGACAAAGTTTCCTTGTTTGAAGAAGCTGGTGTATGATGGACAAGCATAGTAAATAGTCAACAGAGAGAAAAGAGCCTTTAGCAACAAATGCTCAAGTAAGGCAAATGGATATTGAAAGAAGGACTGCATCAAAAAAATAAACATTACAAGTGCCTCCACATTTTATCCTTTTCTCTGAAAATGTTACAAATAAATGTTTTTGCAACAGAACAAGCAGTCCTTGCCTATTCTAATTGTGCTTCACTTCACTTGAAAATAATCTCAGCTAAACCAAGAGGAAAGCAGTTATAATAAATGCAGAAGGATTAATACATCGTCAAAGGCTGTTTGCATTCTATATACAGAATTTGGACATGTCTCAACGTTTTCTATTTTTCTAGCTATCAATATTAGCAGATTGTAATATTAGCAAATGTAGATACATCTGGAAAATATACTTCTATTTTCATCTGTGTGTCTATTTCATTGAAGCCATTTTGAGGCATATTTTCCAAAGTTCAAATACATAAAAATGCAAACTGAATTAGCAAGCATTTTTAGCAAGCTAAATTAAAATCAGATATTATATCGGAATATCATCCCTGCAGAAATTATATTGGCCCCCACATTGACACGCTTTCTTAAGGTTCAGAAGAATCAATGGGTCTGACGAACCCACAATGGGATGGAGCCCATCAAGTGGCTTATTTGACTGTATGTTGTTGCCGGGATGGGTAGGTGGGTTATTATTTTTATACTGGGTTTTTACTGTTTATAAAGAAATATGTTGCAGACCAGCACTTGATAAAATAAGCATGAAGCCTTGGAAAAGTTATTCAAATACTGATGTGATGTGTCTTTACCTACAAAGAACAAAAATTGTGAAATCATTGTATTATACTTAGTTTTTCACACCTGGCTTCTCCATTTTGGCTTTCTTTTTGTAAAATAAATGATGGCATGGTGTAATATATCATGTGTTGTTGTTCATCTGAGGTTGTATTTATCTACTTTTAAGAACTGGTAAGGACCAGATGATTTTTACTAGGTCCTAATATGTAAACCCATAGAACCCAAAAAGGGTGTACTTTCTTTTTCACGTGACTGTAAATGAAATTACAGTAACCCAATCCATCTGGGAGAAAAAGTAAAAACTGGAAAAGTAAATTGCAGAGAAGATTAGGGGGCCAGATGAAGACTTAAACGTTCATCTGCTTCCCATTGACTCCCTCTTCCACGTGCTTCAGTTCCTTGCATTTGCCTGCATTTAACATACAATCAATAGTATTACATAAAATCATGATGAAGGACTGACATCAGGGAATGACTGGAATAGTAGCGGAGAGTTACAAATAAATCATTAATGGCCATTTCACCTGAGCATTAATGTATTACTTATTCATTATAGTAAAATGACTTTATCAATTTCCAATGAATTTTTTATGAAAAAGTTTATGAATTCTTGTCCAAAAAATATAGCCAAATGTCTTTTAGATATATGCAATTCATATTCCAACTACTTTTCAATACAGCAGTTAAATGAGAGGTATGAATGGTTGTAAATTGTTCAATAAAGTGAAATCGGTTTGTAAAATATCTTCTGTATTACAATGTGGTATTTTCAGGAAGATTTTACATTTAAATAGAAGCGAACTTATAAAAAAACCAAATGAGATAAAATAAATTAATCCAAGAGCAATCAATTCACAGCTTAAACAAATATATATTATTTATTTTTTAATTTTTGGATTAGATTCCATACATAAATCTATTTTAAATTTTAGGCATTTAGCATTCTACCTGTTACCAATTCAAATTTTTAAACATTAATATAAAATAGAAACTGATTGTATTTTGTTCTCTCAGGTTTAACATTGCATATTCATTTCATTTGACTCTTCATTTGAATTTAGAAACTTCTTCTCCAGAATATGGCTTCTGCAATGTAGGAGTTTTTGGCTTTCTTTGAACAGCTTCAAGTTCATCACATAAGTGGCCACGGCCAGAACAAAAATTTATTATGTTCCCATCATATTGGCTCATCCAGAATAGCCAGAATTGATAAAGTCTATTATCATTAGTCTCATTTGAACAGCTTTCTTGATGTTAGTCTCCACAGACATTCACATTCATGACAACAGTTAAAATGCAACCCTCTGCACAATCTACTCATATATCAATTGAAGTTGGAAAACCAAATATGAAGCATCTGCTAAAAATAAATAGTGTTACTTCACTGATGAAATGTTACATTTGAGCAAAGTGCATGCATCCTTCTCCCTTCATCTCTCTATACCAGGGGTGGGCAACTGTGGCCCTTTTACAATCTGTGGACTTCAACTCCCAGAATTCCTGAGACAGCCAAGCTGGCTCAGGAATTCTGGGAGTTGAAGTCCACAGGTTGTAAAAGGACCACAGTTGCCCACCCCTGCTCTATACAATCCCAAATCTTTTCTGGCGATTGGGATCTCACACGGCTGGAGATGCAAAAGTAAGAGAAACCAAAAAAAGACCTGTCCTATCATTTGAAATCTATTTGTATGATACTGGTTATCACAAACATAAAAGTTTATGAAGACCCATCTAAGTGCAAGAATTTCCTTACTCCCTAGAAGCTGTTCTTAAACTACAATCTAGGTTTTATTTTTGCTTTGTGAAAGACCCATTTTGCCTTCATATATTCCTATTGTTTGCTTTTTGTTTACGGCGATGAGCTTCAATCTCCCGTTGGAAGACCAGCAGACCTAGCTGGTCATGAGAAGCTTCATTCATAGCTTTAGACTGGATGCACATCTTGTATTGTTCTGGTGTCAGCTCATCTAAGCAATGCTTTTCATGCCAGAGGTGGAAAAGTCCCCGGACTGGTGTCCTGATAACCATGAGGTTGCTGTGAAGATATTTACGGTACAGTTGTACATCTTCTCCTCCCCATCCTTTAATGTCAAGATCAAACCCTCCTAATGAGAAAAGAAAGAGCGGCAGCATTTACAATAAATAGAAAGATGAATTAGGCTTTGATTGGAAAAGAACTACAGTTTTGGGAAAGTCATTCTGCCTGCAGGCATTCATGAGTAGGCAAGAGTAGATGAAATATGCACTACAATGTCACAACACAAGTTCCACCTCTTGCATACTTGCATGTTTTGTGGCAATAAAGTGGGAAAGGGCAGAGCTTGTGTTATGCTGTCACAATGTATTTTTCACCACTTTGGCACCATTATGGTTTGGATGCCCATGTTCTGCCTGCTGCAATTATTTCATTTATTTCATATCCAAGAACAGACAGTTTTTGGTTTCCAACCACTCATTCAGCATCTATTCAAAGTTATAATAACACTGAAAAACAAGACTTACAACTAGTCCTCAAAGTTGCAACCAGCACAGTATCCATGAGGTCACCTCAATGCAATTCAAGTGCTTGGCTATTGGTGTGCCAGTAGGAAGTTGAGTCACAGTTACATGACATCATGCTTAATGACTGTGCCACTTAGTGACTGCATTAGAAGTCCATATTGCCATTGGTGAGTGAAGACTACATGTATTAACAAAACCATTAATGTTTTAACAGCCCCCAATATTACTCATATCTCTCTCTTTACTTTGTTTCAAGATTAAAAGCAGATAAGGACATTACTTTGCTTTGAAATCTATTTTTGTTGGTTTCTTAATCCATGTGTACACATTTAGCAGAAGTTCATATTTCCTCACATTTTAGTCAGAGAAAAACTTCATGTTGTTGTTAATATACTGTTTAGAACAAGTAGTCAGAGTGGACTTGTTTTTTGCCATACTGAAAAAATAATATTCCATTACATATCTGAACGTTTGCTTTGATACAACAATAAATAACCCAACAGAAAAACTGAATTAAGTACTATTTAAAACAAAGAGGCCACAGGAACATTATACTCTGAGTAAACATTGTCATTATATAATAAAGTAAGACATGAACTATTTCCAGATTTATAGTTAGAAAAGTTCAATATTTTATAGCAAAAAATACAGGTTATGTATAATACCCCTGAATCAATTTGCAAAATCCACCTTACTTTCAATATTTCCAAGTTGAATTTTACTAATTTATTAATAACGAAATATGGAGTTCCATGAAATTGTGATGAATTTGGAAAATAAATATTAGTTAAATAAAAAAGGATTTCTGGACATGGAATAAAATGGCAAAAACATTAATAAAGTTACATTAATAAAAATTGGGAGAGTTCTGGAAATGAGAATATCCCTCAGAAATCCTGTTTCAAGAATGTTTATACCTGAAATGATATTGTAGGGACATAATAATAGTACAATAGGTAGAATTACTATTAATAATAACTTGCTGGTGCTGTTTTGCTTCTGTAAGAATTGCTTTGCTAAGAATTAGAGTTGCATCTGCTATTTGTTTCTACCAGTGATCTAACTCCTGTTTTTGTGTACAGGTCAGCGCCTGGTGCAGGTTATGTCATGGCTTGGCAGGAATACATCGGGCAAATACCTGTGTTGCTAAGCATCCAGCCCCTCTGTTGCTAAGCACTCAGCCCCCCTGTTCCTTGCTGCACAGCCAATGCAGGGCTACAAGGAAGGCATGGGCTAAGGGGCCAGAATTGGGTACTAAGCTTATGCCTCTGAAAGTATAAAAGGAAGCCATACCTTCCCCAAGTTGTGACTATTCCTCACTTGCATTGTATCTGTATGTTCTGGTTATAGTTTCACCCAGTATTTTGTTTTTGGCCAAAAATAAAATCTGTCCCTTTTTGCAATCCTCATCTTGAATCTCACTCTCTTTGGCATCTCAGTGGCTTGGGGAAACTTCTGGGACCTTACAATATCATGTTTTTTTTCTTTTTCTTTTTTTGCTTTAATTTATATGCCGCCCTTCTCCGGAGACTCAGGGCGGCTTACAATACATTAAGCAATAGCCTTCATACTTTTGTATATTTATACAAAATCAGGTTAGTGCCCCCACAATCTGGGTCCTCATTTCATCTACCTTTGAAAGGATGGAAGGCTGAGTAAACCTTGAGCCTGGTGAGATTTGAGCTTGCAGTAATTGCAAGCAGCAGATGTTAATAACAGTGCTTTAGTCCACTGTACTACAGGCTCTTCTTTCTTTCAATGAGTATTTTTTATTTAATCAATGGTTATAGATTGTAAAGGTAGGTTGGTTTGCTTAAATATTGAATATACTAACATTAAAGGATAAGTTAGTTCAAAGTGATTATGTAGCTGTGTACACCTTCCCCATATCAAAAAATAACCTCAAATGGGTCAATAATAAACAAAAAAAGAGAGACAGTATTCTGGCACTGATGCCTGGCAAATTTGAACAAGCATAGTATCTTACACTTCAAATCAGCTTTTGTGCCAAAAGCCGAGGTGGGCGGGCAGTGCTGCAATCAGTTCATAGATGAAGATGCAGTCATTTTGGAATTAATCTTTATTAAGTTAAAAGAGGCTGTCTTTAGCTATAGCCTATTATTTCTTTTTGAAGATCTGTGCCATATTGGAGATTTCTTCTTGTTAAGCAACAAGGAAGAAGGCTGCTAAGGCAAGTTAAAATGAAGAGGTGTGGACTATCTTTTTTTTAAAAAAAAAAAGATGGAGAAATATAAGGGCAGAAAGTTGTGGTTCCAGTTTATTATTTTTAGTAATCTGTAGCTTGGTCTGCTTTGCTGTGGGTGGCTAAAACGATAACTTTCAGATTTTTATGATTCCTGATTGGTCAGCAATTTTTAAGCAACTTACAAAAAAACTACTTTTTAGAGATATATTTGAAAAATCTTTAAATAAAATCCATCAGTTCATAGAACAGCTATGTTCCAAGGATGTTAAAAAGAGTACTTAAACTACTTCAGAGATGCAAATATGTATAGAAAGTTACCAAATCACTGAGGGAATTTCACAAGTAACTGATAATGCAGAGGAGTCCATTGTAATTTTTGAATATAAATCTGACACCAATTTTTATTATGATGGTTTAAATAGAAGCTTCCCAGCACAATTGAAAGAAGAGCTCCAAGAAAATTTGCAGTTTTTAAAAGGAAAAGTTTCGGACTTTTTCCTCATGGATATTAGTAAGGTTGATAAATCCTTGAGAAAAAGAGAAGTTTATAACTACCTTCATAAACATTCCAGAAAAGAAAAAGATTTTATTCCAGAAAGACAAGCTTAGTATTAGCAAGTATTAGCTTTAAAAAATCTAGAGCTTTAAAAAGGATGTATACAAGAAAAAATATTATTCTATGAGAGTAATTTGGAGAGAGCAATCTAAATTACTTTATGGAATACTTTATTCCATAAAGACATTATCTTACGCTTCGAATCAGCTTTTGTGCCAAAAGTTGAGGTCGGGACCGGGGGGGGGGGGGGGGGGGAGGCAGTGCTGCAATCAATTCATAGATGAAGATGAGGCCATTTATGAAGATAAATTTAGTAATCTAAATTTAATGAGTTAATTGGAATTTTATTGGTCTGAAAATGAACTTTAAAGTATGCTAAGAGGAAGTTTAAAAAGATGTATTAGAATGTTTTAATTTTAGAAATGTTTTTAAAGAAAAGCTTAGTGTTTAAAAATGGATGATTTTAAGTTTAAAGAACCTGAAAGAATACAGTGAATTTTGTTAATATAAATGGTGATAGTTTATAAAGATTATTAAATGCAAAAAGAAATACATAATTGTTTCACCAGCAGGGAAGATAAAGCAGTAATGGTTAAATTGATTGTTCTATTCAAAGAGCAGAATATATTTATGTTTTTTATTTGGATATCACTTCTGGATTTTGTGCTTGTGCTTAAAAAATGACACTTTCACTTTGCCGATTAGATAGATCTGTTGTTATAGGCTAGTTATATACTAATGTGTAAAAGTAAAAAGTTGAAGTTGTAATGTTGCTATCTTGTACTGTGCTAAAAAGAGTCGAAAGTCAACACCTTTTTCTTTCTTCTCTTGTACCCCATATTTTTTTCCTCTTTCTTTTGTCTTAATTTCCTATTTTTCTTTATATTTTATACATTGATAAAACAATAAAAGTTATATGTAAAAAAAGCAGAGTGTCTTACCAATATTGATGTAATCAGAACGAAATTGACAAGTCATTCCAAACCCAAAGTCTCTCCAAAATCCTGTCTCTTTTTTTATTACCTGGAAGAAACAAGATATGTTTTAGCTTCAATTAAATTAAATCCCTTTTGATTTAATTCTTATTTTTGGCCCAGTGCAAATCTGCAGGTTGCATTGCATTGATCTCCTAATCAATGAGAGGCAGATCTTTTAAGTTGTTAAACCTCTCGTATTGCCAGTAAGGATTTATAAAAATGAAAATTGCCTTATCTAGAGACAAGATTTGCTCATATTTTTCACAGTTTTTTTCTCTCTTACTGGAGGAATAATAAAGGGACTTTAGCATTGTAATGAATAAAAGTCAGTGGTTTTCTGGCATCTTTTTCTACATTGCCACCATTAGAGAAATACAGAAAATCATTTTTTCTTCAGATATTCCAGAATGTGATTTCTTTTTTAATTTCTTAAAAATTTTATTGGCAGTTAATGCATACCTCCTCAGTATTACACCCATATTGTTTTGGGGGTAAATTCTGTATAAGGAAGTGAGCTGCATTTGACATCCTGAAATAACACTCACTGGAACTAAACTCAAGGCCATCTAACTGATCATTCTCAGACTTCAACTCTCAGAAGTCTTTGCATCCTAACTAGTGTATATTGCATACCATTTTTAGAATCTACAATAAGATGTGATGTAAAAAAGAAATAGCATAAAGCTTTAGATTATTCAAATATAAACTAACATTGTGTATTTATTTATACCTGTATCAAGCTCCTCACTAGGCCTACCCTACCCAAAGTGACAAACTCCTTATATTATTAAATTTCTAACTGATATAAATAATAGAGATAGTAAATGAATAACTGCAAATCTGTTAATTTTATTTTCTTAGAATTATTAACATTAAACCAAAAAAGAATGAAAGGAAAAATAAAAAGCCTGCTTTTCTAGAGTTTAAAATAATAATAGTAGTATATCATACTATTCTACTAAAGTCCCTTTTGTCGGACTCCCTGCAGCCAGCGACAATCCCCAATCGCCCGGTGTGTTCCCACAGACAGAGCCTCCTCAGGGTGCTGTCGGCCAGACAGTGTCGGCTTGCGACCCCCAGGGGGAGAGCTTTCTCTGTGGGCGCTCCCACCCTCTGAAACCAACTTCCTTTGGAGCTCCGAATGGCCCCTGACTTTCGCTCGTTCCGCCGCGATTTGAAGACCTGGTTGTTCCGCAGCCTGGACTGATGGTTTTTTTTTTTTTAATGAATTTTAAATTGTTTTAAATCGGAACTTTAATTTTATATCGCTTTTAATGAGGAACTATGCATTTTTAGTGTTGTGAGCCGCCCTGAGTCCTCGGAGATAGGGCGGCATATAAATTGCATAAAATAAATAAATAAAATAAATAAATACTATTCAATCTTCAAACAATGAGTTAAACCTAAACTATACAAATATGGAAATAAAAGGTATAAATGTATTCCAGTGTCATTTTAAAATAGAATAATAGGTACTCTGTTCAAATATTTTAAAAATCAATAAAACTGTTGCATGGCCAATAAAATACTTATCAATTAGTTATTTCTAATTAATGGTCCAAGGCTTTTAAAATGGTGCCGTTAAGAGAAGCCTTCTGCATAATCAACAAGAATGGGTGGCCATCACTAGAAAAAAACCCACCAGTCTCTGATGCTTTTTGATTTAGAATTTAGATTATTTACCTTAAAAGAGAAGCTAATAAGTGTATTTGCTGGCAGTAATCTTAAAGTACTGGCAAGTTCATATGGGCATGGGTTGATTAAAAAATATTTTATGTTTTATGTTTTTTTCTACATTCATGTGCTTTCCAGAATCTACCGCCGTTGGGTGGTCAATACATTTAAACAAATAAAAATAAACTTGTATAGAATTGATGTATTATATCTGGACTATCAGCTTCCAGTAAACATCTTTAAGCAGACGTATTCTCCAACACTTAAAGTTTCCAGGCTGTCTTCAAAAGCAGCCTTATGCAGAATGTATTGAAAAGCTCTCTTTTCCAAGTACATGTATGTTTGAGGCTCAAATCTCATTCCTTAAGTAAATTTGCAGTTACACTATTAACTCAGAATGGAAAAAGGCTTCAGCAAATACTGCTGAGTTTTAAAGAATTTTCAGTTTGTGGATTTGGTTGAACAACCAATTACCTACCAGCTGTTGTTTTAAGGGTGGAATGGAATCATGATGTCCATATATTAGACTTGGATTGTACTGGCTGAAAAGAACAGGATAGAATACTTTCTTTCCTAGAAATAAGAGTTGGAAAAAATATGGTCATTTTCTGCTAAATCTGCTCTTGAATATTTTGAAGATTTCAGAGCAATGAGTAGATGTAGACACAGTAAGAGAAATTATGTTTCTATAGGAAACAATCTAAATGCTACATTTTTAAATATATTTAAGTAAAAAGAGAGAATTGAAAGTATGATTTACACGTTAACACCTGTATGTGTGCCTTTGTGTCACTGTTGACTCCTAGGAACTGCCTAGCAAAGTCCCTGCAGTTTTCTTGGTAACAGTTCAGAAATGCCTTGCCATGGTCTCCTTCTTAAGGCTGAGAGAGAGTGACTGGCCAAGGTCATCCAGCTGACTTCATACCTAAGGTGAGACTAGAAGTTGTGATTTTCTGGTTTCTATAATATGGCTCTAAATAACACATATTTCCTCTAAAATTAAAGAGGGTTCTAGCTTTTGCAGCAGATCTCCCACATGCACATATACACAAAGTCCCAGAGCTCCACAGTCCTTAAAATTAAATTTTCATTCATATTTAGGTTTTATTATGCCTTAGCTTGCTGTATTTCCGGTATGGATTTATGGGATTTTTCTCAAAGGTGCTTTTTCAAAAGTTAACTAGATTGTTTTTTCCTTGAGGAAGAAGTAAACATTTTGTTTCTCATCCAAGAAACTTCATCAGTTGTGATGGTGGGGGGATGAAAAGATAGGTACTGACAATTGAGACTGAATGGTGGTGGGATGGAAGGATGGGTTCTGACCAGATGTTGGGGTGGGGTGCGGAGATGGAAGGATTGCATTTCTTTGCAGTCATTGTTAGCACTCTCTGAGAGCTCTTGAGGCCACTTGGGTGTTTATTTGTGCCCTTAGGGTCACTTGAATTAGAGTGCAATTGGTTGTGGAATCTTCTGAGAACTGCTACAAGGGCTGCATTGTAGACTGGAGATAAGTGGTGTCTTATCCCTCCTCCTCTGTTGAGAGAGGACTGCTCAATGTTAACATAAATAGTCTCTTTTATTCCTCTTTAAAACCAATGATTCTTTCTATCCAAAATGTGGTTTTCACTGTCTTCAAAGGTAACCTTTAATGGACTGCTGAATTTTGTCCTTATGGGTTTGATCTCCTATGTTGTGCCATGCACTTGTGAAGTGGTTGTTTTCCTTCACCAATATACAGATGGCACATGTCTCACTGAATTGTATTGCATATATCACATCACACTCAATGTGTGTCTAGGTTTTTTATCCTTGGGGTAGATAAGCTTCTGCCTTAGTGTGTTCTTGGGTTGAAAGTGTACATGTGTGTTGTATTGGTTGAAAATTTTCCTGAGCTTCTCAGATATTCCTGCAATGTAGGGAATGACAACATTACTACGTTTATTGTTCTATTCTTTGCCTGTAATGGAGGAGCTCCTGCTGTATCTATTTCTGGATTTAGGCTTATTTTATAATTTAGTTTTCAGCCAGACCTAGGAAATGTTCCAAAGACAAAAGGAAACATAGACTCAGCTGTTTGCATTAAAAAAATGAAAATCACCTGAGAGGGGAACTTTCCGAATTATATCTCAAAATTTGATATTCATGGATTTCAGATGTCTCTGCCCATTTACCTGGATCAACAGGTCCAGATTTTTCTTTAACTGTTCTAGTGACTGAATCACTCAGAATGACTTCCATCCTCCCTCATTATTACAATGATTATCATATTTATAGGGAAGAATACTTCCCATGATCATTACAGATGATGGCTATATACATTGTCTAATTTTTGAAATGCATACAGGAGAAATTAGCTGAGCTTTCAGGTTATATTTACAGTTTTGCTAGAGGGAGCTGGCAGACTTCTGAAGGAATATATGTGTGAAGTATCTTCAATATTAAAAAGAATAACAAACTTATGGTACAAATTGAATTTTTGTCCATTATATCATGAATGAATAACTGTACCTGGTTGTGTGTTTAATCTACATGTGTTCAGGAATTCCATTGTGAAATGTATATCCACATCACAGAAAAAAAGTACAACATTGGTTCCTTTCCAAAATCTTGCACCCACATCCAGACCTTTCCCCCTGGAGAACACTTCATCCAGCTGAATAAATGTGTAATTTCTGAAATTAGCTGATCTGTAAGGAAAAAATATATTTAAGTTTTATCTGCCTTTCACCACAGTTATCGTTTTCGGGATTCCTCTGTTAAAATACTGAAGTTTGCAGATGATTCAAGACAACAATGAATCTGCATACAGACGGGAGGTTGAACAACTAGCCTTGTGGTGCAACCAGAACAATCTTGAACTAAATACATTCAAAACTGTAGAAATGGTGGTGGATTTTAGAAGAAAACCTCCTATACTACCACCTCTTACAATACTAGACAACACAGTATTAACAGTAGAGACCTTCAAGTTTCTAGGTTCTATCATATCTCAAGACTTAAAATGGACACCTAACATCAAAAACATCATCAAAAAATCTTAACAAAGAATGTTCTTTCTGCGCCAACTCAGAAAGCTCAAACTGCCCAAGGAGCTGCTGATTCAGCAGAGGAATTATTGAGTCTGTCATCTGCACCTCCATAACTATCTGGTTTGGCTCTGCAACCAAACAAGACAGACACAGACTTCAACAATTAGAACTGCAGAAAAAACAATTGCTACCAACCTGCCTTCCATTGAGTACCTGTATACTGCACGAGTCAAAAAGAGGGCTGTGAAAATATTTACAGACCCCTCACACCCTGGACATAAATTGTTTCAACTTCTACCCTCAAAATGATGCTATAGGACACTACACACCAGAACAACTAGGCACAAGGACAGTTTTTTCCTGGATGCCATCAGTCTGCTTAACAACTAATTCCCACAACACTGTCAAATAATGTACTAAGATTGTATTACTATTATTCTTCTCTTCCTTTCTAATATCTATCTCTTCCCACTTATTACTATAGCCATGTTGCTTATATCTTTTAATTTATATTGTTTTTGTTTCCTAGTACGATTTGATAGCTTATTAGTAACCTTGACTATCACGAAGTGTTGTATCTTTTTATTCTTAATTAATGTATTTTATTCTCCTTATGTACACTGAGAGCATATACAGCAAAGACAAATTCCTTGTGTGTCCAATCACACTTGGCCAATAAAGAATTCCATTCTATTCTATTCTATTCTATTCTATTCTATTCTATTCTATTCTATTCTATTCTATTCTATTCTATTCCATTCATTCCATTCCATTCCATTCCATTCCATTCCATTCCATTCTTACATAATTTTTATTCTAAGAAAAACAGAGTCTTAGTGATTAATACGTTTATCATGATCGGCTCTTATATGCAGGAAAGGAAATCCTCAATCGAATGGCTTGGGCCATCATTCAGCTCTATTGCTCTTACAGCCTAGTGTCACTTTATAGTAAGCAACAAGCTCTGTTAGTTGCCAAAATTACCTCTTGAAATGCCTCAGTAACATTCAGTTGAAGGAAAATATGATGCAAATCAAATGGCTGTTGAAATATGGGATTGGGGCCAGACTTCTTAGAGCAATCAAGTGAACTCTGTAGGAGGTTGTTTGTTTCTGTTGAAAGCAATCGATCTAATCTAACAATGGTTTAGTGTGGACTCATTCCATTATTACTGGAAAAGGTAGATGGGCTTAAGAATTTATTAAAAAATCTGTTGTATAATCTGCGGTATAATGGAAGCTCTATAATACAGAGAGAAATCAATAGGACAGCTTGCCTCCTTGTGGCTGTTCCATTGCTGCAGGTTTCCAAGACAAAGAAAAAAGAGATAATGCCTTTTAAAATTAAAACAATGTATTTTGGACAATGTATTTTGCTGAAAATAGATGAAAGGATATGGTTCTTCCCAGATTCTAATTAATGTTAGAGGAGAAAAAAAAATCTAATTAAGATTTTATTCTTGTCAGTGCAGGACAAATTATCTGAATGATGATGATTTGTCAATAACAATTTTGAGAAGAATTTTGCTTATAGCATTTCCAGTATTGTTTAAGGATACTTCTAAGCCCACAGAGATTGCTCAGTTGTTCTTTTCTGCTTAGAGGTGATTAGAATTACAAGGCAAAGATTTCAGCCAAACAACAATAGGACTTCCAGATTATCCTGAGACTTGCCACTTCTTATTTTTTTAAATGTTAACCATTAATGAGAAGAGTAGAATCAGGAAATCCACCTTTTCTTTTGGTTTCTAAATTAAAAATGACATTAAGTCAAATGTTTTACTCACTTGGATATGTTTTCTAGGATTCCTTTGACTTTGCTCATTTGTTCAGTTCCAAAGTACACTACAGTCAGGTGAATTCTTCCATCTTGCTGCATAGCCACCTCCCTAAAATAAATATCAGGTGGCAGATAATAAGCATATTTTCTTACAACTATAATTTGTAACTCCTTATATAGTCACACTACACCTTACCTTCATTCATTGACTTATCTTTATCTGTACCCACAAAGCAGATATGTAAACCATTTTGAGGTTGACTATTCTGATCCCAAAATGGTTTACTAGGAACCTGGAACACCTATTCTCACTAACATATTCCAACATCGATACTGGTAATTTCAAACTTATAGACATTTTTTGTGCATGCCTTTGAATCTATGTTAAATCTTGGCAAGTGCCTGAACAAGGCCCTGCAGTTTCTTGGCAAGATTTCAGAAGTGGTTTGCTATTGCCAGCTTCCAAGGGCTGAAAGAAAGTGACTACCCAATTTCACCTAGTTGGCTTTGTGCTGAAGGAAGGACAAAATTCAGTCTTCTGGTTTCTATCCTGCTGCCTTAACCATGCACCAAATAGGCTCTCTATAAAAAGTGCTCCAACCTAAAAATCAATGTTTTAACTTTCATTCTTAATAAAATATTTCTTGGTCAGATTTTTTCAATCTTTAAAGCAAGACATACCATCTATTTGTGTAAACATTTCACAAAATATTAACAGGGCTTTTAAAATATCGCAGTGAATCTGACTGCATAGATCACTGAATAGCTGCAGACCATTATTTTCAGCATTTGAACGGACAGATAAGTGATTTACTCTGATATTTACGCTTTCCTGTATGCATGCAGTCTTAATGCAAATTGTTAAACAGATTCTTGAAGTCTGTTACCGCAAATGGAGAAAGCCAGTATAGTGGCAGCCAAATGATGAGAGGCCAAATCTACTTCTCCCTTATATTTCCAAACCATAATTAGATATATGTGCTCCGTTTTCACACCATACTGTATTAAGCTGTGGTGTGTTTAGATATAATTGGTTCAATAAGGCACCAGTTGGGTTGGCACATTGTACTAAGCCACATATCATGGCAACCAAATTACAATGAGCTGAGGTCACATAACATGTTAAGCCAAACCAAACAAATCACATTACATGAATCAGACAAAGAACTGGCTAACAGCACTTTGGAATGCACAGGGTCTCTCCTCTCTCTATTTCTAATTAGACACTGCCTAGTTTCAATTGACTCTGGGAGGCAGAGAGCATAAACAATAGAATAACACAACATAATAAATATACAATTCAGAAAAAAAGCATAGCAATACAGAGATGGCAGTTCCAGTCAACACAACATATCCAATATGTAACAAGGATTACCAAACATCCTAGCTCAAAGCCTGGGAGAAGACCCAGATTTTAAAAGCCCTCTAAATGTCATCATGGTGGGAGCCTCATTCTAGAGGGCAGACTGTATGACAGAAAAGCAGGATTCTGGGGTCCTGACAGATGGCATTGCTTGATTAAAGGAATCTGGAGTGTGACTGTCCTGTTTGAATGAATTGTCCAGGCCAATACCACAGGACATGGATGATTCCCTGAAGTAGCCAAGTAACCAAGCTCTATGCCATGTAGGGTTTTATATAATAAATTTGCACCTTGAATTGCACTCAGAAGCAAACTGGAAAACAGTGCATAGTATGTGGGAAAGACTTTGGGAGATAGGGTGAAGAGATGCTGCCTAGGGAATGGTCAGGTAAGAAACAACATAGTCCATAGCTGGATAGCAGGTGGAACAAGAGGCTCAGAAGGGATCATCCCTAGTTTCTTTGGCTGTAAAGAAGACTGGAGGAGCATTATAGTGATGTCAACTTTATCAGCAAGATGAGACAGGAAACACAACCAGACAAGTTAATTCTATCTATTGTTCCGCTACGTTAACCAGATCTTACAAGTCTGCAAATACAATTCCTCCATCTTTTTCTGAATAAGTACATGGATTAATGTGCCACCTTTATCCTGACTCTGTCACAGATTCTCCACCAGTACAACTAATGGTATCTATGTATTGAATCACTGCTTGAACCTGAGCAGAACAGGTCTTAATAATCTGCTTCTTCCAGGGTTCTCATCAACTGCAAATTATTTTCTTAACAATGTTCCCTAAAAAAAAAGGAAAAGTTGGAGACAGGGCAATAATTATCTAAAACAGTTGGATTCAAGGATGGCTATATTCTTACTCAAAGAGGCCAAAACCAAGCACAGATTCAACCACAGGTCATCTTCCTGGCCACGTTCAAGAGGGAGCCTGGACCAGTTGAGCAGAGATCATTGTCTACTTCCTCAAGAATCACTGGTTCAAACTCCCATCGCAGTTCATACCACAAATTAGGCTCTAGCCATCTTGGAAAGATTTGCCTAGCCAGAGTTCAAATCAGAGCATGTCTGAGCAACTTTCACCAGAAGCTTGAATATTTCTCACTGGTTTGATATGAGTAGCAGTTCTACTCAGAGATTTTGTTTTCACAAATCTTCCTAATCATAGCTAACTTAGCCATAACAAATAATTCTGAGTGATAAAATTTGAGATCATGCTTTACACTAAGATTAAGTCCAATATGTTAACCAATAATGTAGTTTGTTACAAGAAAAATTATTGGCTAATTATGCACTATCATGTTGTTGTCTTCACTTACCTACATCATAGATAAATCTATCAAATTAATATTTTTTTAAATCTAACATTACAAAATAAATCTTCAAAACACAAACTCTAGGTACACTGCCCTACAACTTCTCATCTGCCATAAGAGTGCCCAACAGCAATGATACCAACCTGAAATTGTGCATAAATTGCTGAAACTTGCTGACCCTTTTTGCCAGTGGCACGATGACATTAATAAGAGTGTGGGCCATATTGAGGTTTTCATTTGCAACATTCATGATGGGGCCAAATGGTCTGAACAGAACAATACGCTTGAATTCATATTCTTTGTCTCCTTTGAATATCAACTCATATAGTGTGCCTTTATCTCTTTCAGTCCGGCGAATGCCTATTAGAAAAGAGAAGGCAATCATTAGCTAGAATTTCTAAAGCGGTAAAAATATTTTTATATATAATTCTCCTGATTTTATTTCTGTCATTTTAGCAGTAGGCATTTAAAATTTTATAATCTATTGACTTGTGAATTCCTTAGAAAGATATTCAGAAAGAAATTCAAGATATTTGGAAATCATGTATTACTACAAATTATCTAATTGCTCTGTTGCTTATTAGAAAATGTAAGACTAGCAAAAAATCATGAACAGTCTTTTGAGGACAGAAATACATGCAGCAACCTTATCTTCATTTAACCCACCCACAATTTCTTTATTCATTCTTAAGTGACTTCCCAGAAAACACACCTTCTATGAAATCAGAGATGGAGTATATTCGATGATTTATGCTGCTGTTACTCTTTGGCCTATTTAAAATCTCCAGACCTGATTCAATAGCTTCTGCCAATTCATCCTTCTTATCCTTGCGCACAGGCTTCTCCTCAGGATGACGTAAAAGTCCCATCTCCAATTGATAAATTTTTTGTTGGGTGAAGCTCTCAAAGGGCAGTGCAGCATATTCAGTTGGTAGCTTGATGCCAGTATGTATTTCTGCTTTGTCAATCTGGGAATGGAGGAACTGCATTAGGGCTTTCTGGGACTTCTCAGAGTTTCCTAGGTCTAGTCTAACCCCCAGCTTGTCAGTATCTTGACCTTGCATGTTCTTCAGTGGTTTACTCCTTTCCTGAAGCTTATCTTTCAGTTCAGCAATTTGTCTTTTCAGGCTATTGATATGGTCCCAATAATATTCTTCTCCTTTTTGTAGGATTGCCCGATATTCCTCTTTTCCTGTTGGGCTGTTAACTCCGAGGAATGCAGATAGCTGATGGTTACCTCCTGGAGTGCAGGTCAACATGTAGAACACAGATGCTGCACAGCAGAGGAACACAAGTATAGCTACTATTCGAGACAGCCATGCTATTATCCCACGACGAACCATCATCTGCTAAGCAGCTGGTGATACCCACATTCCTGTAACAGACTGAAATTTTCTGCCAGCTTTTTAGAACTCAGTTCAGAAGTTATACACATTGATACAACAGTTTTTGACTGATTAATTTCAATATAACATGCATACAATATGTGACAACTGGACAATGTTGCAAGGTCATATACAGTACTAAAACCTTCACTGAAAGACCAATGTTGGCATTTGAAGGATATCTGTTGATTGGGATAAAAATTGATAGTTGCCCACAGCAGAGAGAGAGAATGATCTGGAAGCCAAGCAAAAACATATTGGATTAATTCCCGTGTGAAGAAGCTTCATCTTCAGAAGAAGCAGTCATTGAATGGTGTGATTGATTCACATCTATTTGGCTACAACATACAGATCTGACAACCAAGAGATTCTTATTTACCTAGATTTTAAGATAATTGGCTTCATGTCTATAGGACAACTGGAAGGAATTCATAGTCTCTTGGTTTCTAGCTTAATACCTTGAGTACAGCAACAAACTAGCTGTCCAGTTTACAATTAATAATGATAACAGTGAGGATATCCTTTCCTTCTTTAAATAAAACCCACTGATGTACTTATAAAAGAACAATTGGTTTCTTTGTTTAATTTATTATTTTTTATTTTCTCTTCCCCTCAGGCTCTTATCTACTCTACTTTTTAAGTAAAACCCTTGCACGTTGCTCCATGACATAACAATTGTGCTAAAATTGATTTCCCACCTTTGTCTTAATTTGATTTGTTACTCATCTTTGAAAAGTAATGAAAACCACTGTTTTAACACTCAAAATCATGCCTTGAATAATGAGTATTCTGAATTCAGTCTCTGACATCTCTACTTAAAAGGACCTTTTAAGGCATTTGGAAGGCTTGTGCCAGTCAAAAAGGAGACAGTGCTCTAATTCAGCTGAGTCACTTTCATATGTTATCCTCTCCGATTTTTCAGCCCTTTGCATGCTAATTATCATATTTTGTAATGAATAGTGACCTGCACCTTTTATCTGTTTTAGCAATAATCTCTTTCTATAGTTTCTAGGGATATTTGGAACATTTTTTAGTATGAGAAATTTTATGTAATTTTTTTTCCAAGAATGTGTGATCTGTTTCAATGCCTTGAATAAGTCCGATGTCAAAACATACTGGATATTTCTTATAAAATGAAATACTATTTTTTTTTTGCAACAGTTAGAAAGAACTGTTTCACTTTTCTTTTCTCCATCCTCTATGAGTGCCAATAGCATGCTAACATTTCATGCTTTATATATCAACCATATGCCCATATTTTTAGTCTCCCTAGAATGCAATAGCTGCTGCTGGTATCTACTTATTGAATAATGTCAACATGGATTACATCTGCATCTACATACTTCATTTTGCAAATTATGCATCCTCTGATAAAACCAGGGTGCCTATGAAAGGAGTACTACAAGTATAAACTAAATTCTAAACTGTACCTCATTGATTTATTTGATACGGTATTTGTTTTTGAAAGCAAAAGCATTCAATAACTAACAAATTTCTCAAACATAAACTGCCAAAAGTTACCAAAAACGACACTTCCATATATATTAATGATTATTAGTGATTATTAAAGACACATTCAACATCATCAAGTGCTTCTCAGGTTTTGTGAATATTTTCACAATTCATCTTCTATGAGTTGGTGATACTGATGTATTGTAGATTAGGACAAATTTCAATTTAGATTCCCACATACTGACTTTTATCCAAAGTTTCTGACTCACCATACTGTGAATTCTAAACATATGATCATTTTGGATATCTTCAACTTGAACACTGCCACTGACAAACTTTATCTATACAATCTGGATTTAACTAAGAGTAAATCTTGGCTATAGAAATGGCACATGGGAAATTAAAATGATACTATGTGCATTGTCATAACCTACTTTTTGTAAATATCATAAGAATATGCCCCCAAAATTTGCTTCAATCTACGATATTTCATATTTGTTGACTTTTTTAAAAAAAAATTAATTTTATTATGACACAGTATGACAATCACATAACATACAACATATAAATATCTCTTCTTTTTTAAACATTGTTTCTTTGTAGTCTTCTTTCTGTTATTATATCTTTCCTCCCATATTTCTTCAAAAAAACCCCTACATTTTGTTGACTTTCAATAGCTGAATAAATTGATGAAGACTCTGAGATTAAGAAAATCTGTCTGGGGAAAGTAACATCTGAAGTTGTATTTGCATCTCATGATTATGGAGAGTGACAAAAGAGCATTTGCTTCTGAATATGAATTCTATTTCTGAATTATACAGGCTTTCATTTTGCCTGTATGGGGGATGGTGCAAAATGCAATTGCACTCAAAGCAATTTCTTACATTATGTCTTCCTGTCATCATTCCCCAAATTTTGTTCTTGCTTGTATGTATGTATGTATGTATGTATGTATGTATGTATGTATCTATGTATCTATGTAATAGGAAGTGAGAGGAAATGAAAAGAGTACAGTCTAGTATCCATCTACTATATACTATACTTCTCCGTATATTTCTATTCTTGCAAAGCATCCTTTTTTCTGTCATCTCCATTAATTAATACATTGCCTATTGTTCTTTAAACCTCACTATCTCTTTTTGAGTATCTTATCAACTTCATCCAACCACAACTTTCTCAGACTTTCCATTCTTCCAAACCCATTCATTATTTATTCAGACCTAATTCTCTTTGTTTGACCAAACATTTGTCCATAAATATGTTTCATGACTACCACAAGACTTCGTCTTACTCTGTTCTCACTGCTCAAATCATAAACACTACCATTATTTTATATGTTTTATTTCCATCATAATCTCATTCAGCAGAAAGTCTTCAAATCTATATTCATGCACAATACTATAATTCAAACATATCATCATCCACTTTCTTTACATAAACAAATATTCAATAATATTTTGATCTGCTGAAGATCAAAAATCTAGTCAATACAAATTTTGATCATTTTCATCTGTTTATATCCTTTTGATCAGAATTTTGCCCAACACTTTCCAAGGCACACTTAACTAACTAATCTCCATCTAGTTTTTGCAGTGATTCCTGCTACCTTTCCTTTATACTTCTAATGGCAGTCTTTTGGATAAACAAGCTGCACAATCCATAATATAAACATATGCATATATTAACACTTCCATAGATTAACCATCTAGATCTACAGTATTTTCAAACAATTTGTAGTATTTATGATCTTTTTATCATTTTTATTTTAGAGAACATAACACTGATTATATTTCCCTTTGACATACAATACTGTTCCCATACAAATCTCTGAAATACTTCTTACATTTTTTCACTTCAGAGGCATTTTACCTTTTATTTTGAATTCATTTCATTATTACTAAACTCATGTTGGAAGTGCCTGAAGATCCTTTATTTGGTCATCTAGCTTACAAAATAAATATTATTTTTTATCAAAATTACGTTACATTTTCTCTGCCTCATTTTCAATTATTCCTTGCCTTCTTTGATTACATTATTTAATTAGCTTTTCCTCTTTAGCTCCTTTTTTTTTTTAACTTCCTCTCATTTTTACTCATCCACAGTGTCTTTCATTTTGACGTGCCAACAAGCATCTTCTGTGGCATTTCATAACGTAATAGTATTTACTCTGTTGTAAGAAGTTGCCATACCCACTTTCCTTATATCTACTTTTCATTGTTTTGGGAGATTATTTTATTGTTTAATACGTTTTCATATAGATCTTATATTTTCTTTTCTTGTAGAAATACTACATTCACTCTAGTTCTTTTCACTCTCAGCTTTTCTTTCATGTCCATTGCATCTCAAGATCACGTTCATGTCTATTTTTTTTTCACTCTTGACATTGTTAACAATGGCCATTCTCTTATATTCAGAATCTCTCATCATCCTTGTATCTTTCATTAATTCTGTCAACCTTCACGATAAATCAATAATTACTCTTTCATATATTTTATTTATTTAAAAGATTTGTGTAGCCACCCATTCTTCATGCAACTCTGTCTTGCTCCCAATCAAGAATCAAAAGACATACGATCATATTAAAGCTATAATATCCAACTACTTAAAACATTAAAAATAACAAAAACCTGATGCCAAAGCAGTTCTAATGTGTGATTAGCTAGTCTTATCCCAGCACTTGGAGCCAAGTCTTCAAAGCCTTACAGAAGACTGAAAGGGTGGAGGTTTGCTGAACTTCAGGGGATATAGCTGCATGGAGAGATATAGACTTAAATTATGTACTTGAAATAAACAGCTTATTCTGATGCTCACGAATTATCATTTTAATTCATTTTTGGATCTCCAAAAATTACTAGTTGCAGCTAAAGTTCAGCTAAAGTTACTAGTTGCAGCTAAAGTTCAGATGGTGACGATGATGATTATCTATCAGTGTGCAAGTCTTTATTTTTTTATTCATTTATAAAAAAAACATTTATATGGCTGCACAAGTCACTCTTGGTGACTTTGGGCAGCTCACAGGGGTAAAACCCCAGTACAAAAACCAAAATCCTCCCCCACTCTTCTTGGCAATAAGTCAGATGATCCATAATCACTCTTGTGTCTTCAAGCCTGTTGGCAGAACCATGTATTCAAGTCTTTGCAAAAAAAGTGTCAAAGTAGGGGGGTGTCAAGAGTGATTAGCTCTTTCACCTAGTTACTTTTTTGCTCTCACGTTGACAATAATCAGGAGGGGGTGATTGGAATGTCTGGGGTGGGAATGGAATGCCAAGACTCTATCTGCAGACTCTGCTGCCTCCCCCAAGGTCACAATGTGCAGTTGTTTGAATGATGCAGGTTATTCTCATAACAACAGAAGTGCATTCAATCAGACAACGCAATGAACTGAGGGGAAACAGGGAAAAATCAAGTATAACTATGTGGGCTTTTGAGTGGGAAATTAAGAGCTGGTTTCGCTTCTTCTGTGCCAATGTAGTGTATTCATTAGTTTTACTTTTTGAGAGAAATAATATCTGAGGAGTTCCTTTTTTGGATTCGCTAACTGGTCAACTGACAGGGGGGTGTAATCTTATCTCTGCAGGGATGATCCTTCACAGGAAACCATTACTGATAAGATCCTTTGGGTCAGTAGAATCAGACAATCAGTAGTATTCCCTATCTCCCCACCATAATGGGCCATGTTCAGGGGTGAAATGCTCCCAGTTCGGACTGGATCGCCCGATCCGATAGCGGTGGGTGGTTTGGAGAACCGGTAGCAAAAATTCCTGCCCCCCCACCCAACTGAGC